TCTGGCCTTTATTATTTCTTTCCTTTTATTTGCTCCAGGTTTTTCTTTTTGTTTACTTTCTAGTTATTTAAGTTATATTGTTAGACAGTCTATTGGAAAATTTTCTTGTTTCTTGAGGTAGGCCTGTATTGCTATGAACTTCCCTCTCAGGACTGTTTTTGCTGCGTCCCATAGATTTTGTGTTGTCGTGTGTTCATTTTCATTGATTTCCAGGAAGTTTTTAATTTCTTCCTTGATCTCCTTGGTAACGTATTCATTGTTTAATAACATGCTATTTAGTTTCCATGTGTTTGAATGTGTTTGAGTGTTTTTATTGTAATTTCTAGTTTCATGCCATTGTGATCTGAGATGTTTGATATTATTTCAATCTTCTTGTACTTGTAGAGACTTAGTTTATGTCCTAACATGTGGTCTAGCTTTGATAATGTTCCATGTGCACTTAAGAAGAATGTGTGTTTTGTAGTTTGGGGGTGTAATTCTCTGAAAATATCTATTAAATCCATTTGATCTAGTGTGTCATTAGGGTCTCTGTTTCCTTGTTAACTTTTTGTCTAGAGGGTCTATCCAGTGATGTTGGTGGGGAGTTGAGGGTCCTGCTATGATTGTATTGCTGTCAATTTCTCTCTTGAAGTCGTCCGTAAGTTTTTAAATATATTTTGATGCTCCTATATTGGGTACATATATGTTTACCAAGGTTATATCCTCTTGTTGGATCGATCCTTTTAATATTATGTAGTGGCCTTCTTTGTCTCTTATATGGCCTTCATTTTGACATCTATTTTATGAGATAATAGTATGCCACCCCAACATTTTTTTCAATTCCATTTTCTTGGAAATACTTTTTCCATCCCTTCACTTTCAACCTGTGTGATCTTTTGTTGTGAGGTAGGTTTCTTATAGACAACATATATATTGGTCATGCTTTCTAATCCATTCAGCTACTCTGTTTTTTTGATCAGATCATTTAATCCACTTACATTTAAAGTTATTATAGATATGCACTTAATTTATTGCCATTTTTATTTATTATGCCCATGTTTCTCTATTTCTTCTGCTTATTACAACAGTCTTATTTTTTATTTTTTTATTCCTTACCTGAGGATATTTTTCTATTTATCATCAGACAGAGTGAGAAGGAGGGAGAGAGAAAGAGACAGAAACACATTGATGTGATAGAGCTACATCGACTGGTTGCCTCTTGCATGACCCAACCAGGGCTGGGGACAAACCACAACCAAGGTATGTGCCCTTGACTGGAATCAAACCTGTGACTCATTGGTCTGCGAGACTGACGCTCTAACTGATGAGCCAAACCAGCTAGGGCTACAGCAGTCTTTCCAATGTTTCTTACAGTGCTGCTTTGGTGCTAATATACGTATTCTCTTAGCCTTTTTTTTTTTTTTTTTTTTTTTTTTTGTCTGGGAAGCTCTTTATTTCACCTTCTATTTTGAATGATAACCTTGCTGGATAGGTAGTCTTGGATTCAGATCCTTGTTTTTTATTACCTTGAATATTTTATGCCATTCCCTTCTGGCCTGTAGTGTTTCTGTTGAGAAATCAACTGACAGCCTTATGGGGGCTCCTTTGTAGATAATCTGTGGCTTTCCTCTTGCTGCCTTTAAGATTCTCTCTTTGTCTTTAATATTTGACATTTTAATTATGATGTATCTTGGCATGGGCCTTTTGGGGTTCTTCTTGCTTGGGGCTCTCTGTGCTTCCTGAACTTGTATGCCTTTTTTCTTCACCAAGTTAGGGAAGTTTTCTGACACATTTTCTTCAAATAGATTCTCTAACCCTTCCTCACTTTCTTCTTCTTCTAGTATTACCGTGATGTGGATGTTGTTATGTTTCATGTTGTCCCACAGCTCTCTTAAACTATCCTCCTGTTTTTTAATTGTTTTTTATTTTTGGTTCTCTGATTGAGTGACTTTTTTCTACCCTGTATTCTAATTCGCTGATCTGATCCTCAACTTTCTCTAATCTGCTGGTTATTCCTTCTAATGTGTTCTTTATTTCTGCTGTGTCATTTTTCATTTCCTCTTGGTTGTTTTTTATTTCCAATTGGTTGATTTTCATTGTTTCTATATCTTTACCCATGTTGTTGAGTTTCCTCATAATCATTACTCTGAACTCTACCTCTGATAACTTGGTATCTCCATTTCATTTAGTCCTTCTTCTGTAGAATTCTCTTGTTCTTTCATTTGGAATTTCTTTCTTTGTTTCACCATTTGGCTGTCTCAGCAGGGCTTAGAGCCTGCCAGAATTTCCCTGTGGGTATCAATGTTTAGCAGATTATGGCTTCCTCTGCTGGGTTTGGATGAGTATGGAAGGGACCATGCTGAACACCAATGTCTGGTCTTATTTTCCTTGGTAGAGTTGCAGACCAGGCCAAGATTCAAGTATCCCAGAGCCTTTGCCTGGAGGCTGACTGTTAGTTTCAGTCACTTAATGTGTCTCAGGTGTAGCCCTCACTGAATGAAAAATCCCCCAGGTGGGCAGGGTAAGAGGATTTTCAGCCAGTGAGGCAAATGCTTCCCTCTGGGCTAAAGCCTCCTTGAGAGGAAAACTCTGCCTGAAGAAAATGGTTTCTGCAGCATGTGTTAATGACTCAGCATAGGGACCCAGCCAGCTGCCTTCACAGTTCTACCACCCCAGAGCCTTGAAACTCAATGACCAGTGACCACAAGCCAGGCCCAGGATTCAGAGCACCCAGAGACTTGGGTTTTTTTCCTGCAAGCTGGCCAGTAGTCTCTAACAGTTAATGAGCTTCAAGTTGCAGTTCTGTGCTAGGCGCTGACTCCTCCCTGCTGGACCGGGTTAAATTCTAATGGGAGGGGCAGTTGCTCCTCCCCACCCCCACCCTGAGCTGTAGCTGCTTTGATGGGAGATCTCTGCTTGAGAAGAATGGTTCCTGCAGCATGGGTTAATGGCTCAGAACAGGCAGCCAGGCCTCAGCCTTCACAGCCCAGTGTCCAGAGCCACGAAACCCAACAACTGAGAGCCAAGCCCAAGGCTTGAAGCCTTCTGTCTCATCTCTCGTCTCTGTTTACAGGCTGGTTGATAGTCTCTGGCAGTTAATGAGACTCAGGTTGAGCTTCTCCTGGCCTGGTAGGGTTAAATGCCAAAGGGTGGGGCAGTTGCTTCCCCCGAACCCAGCCCCAGGCTAAAGCTGCTCTAATTGGAAAAGACTGAGAAAAATGGCAATTGCAGCATGAGGGAATGACTCAGCATAGGGCTCCTGATGGCCTCCTTCCCAATACTCTCCCTAGCCCATGAACCCCCACTTCTCCTCACACAGCTCCAGTCCCATCTGCCCTCCCTCTGCTGGAGCCCAAGGTGAGTGGCTGTGGCTGTACTTTAGTGTCTTTCAGGGAAGTGCCGGTGTTCCCAATTCTTCTCCGTGCCAGACAGAACCTCTGCTCTGGTGTTTTTCACAGCCAGGTGTTCTGTGGGCGCCTTGCCCTGTTCTGCCACTCTGCTGGGGAGCCGGCTTGGGGTTTAACCCTCTGACTTCTCAGAGGGAACTTCTCACAGCTAAGATAACCCTCAGCTGCTGCCTGTGGGAGCCCAGCCAGCCCTCTTGCACCCCCGCACCTCCTACCAGTCTCCATGTGGGCTCCTCTTTATGTCCCTGGTTATTCCGGTTCTCTCCAGCTGCTCTTCAGTTGGTGATTCCAGATGACTTTTCTTTAGTTTTTGTAATTCCAGTTTGGTTCTGGGAGACAGTCTTTGTAGCTTCCATTCACTCCGCCACCACTTTTCCTCCCTCTATTTACCAGAATTTTTAAAGTACAGTCACCGCACCCCAATCCGTGGTTTTACTTTTGCAGTTTTAGTTACCTACAGTCAGCTGCGGTCCAAAAATACTAAATGGAAATTTCCAAAAATAAATAATTCATAAGTTTTAAATTGCACCCCATTCTGAGTATCCTGATGAAATCTTGTGTAGTCCTGCTCTGTGCTGCCTGGGGAGTGAATCCTGCCTCTGTCAGCATCTCTACTGTGGATGTTCTCCGCCCGTTAGTCACCTAGGTGATCATATCAACTGTCACAGTGTTACAGTGCTTGTGTTCAAGTCACCCTTATTTTACTTAGTAATGGCCCCAAAGCATTTACGCATTTATTACAGTATGTTGTTATGTGTTCTATTTTATTATTGTTATTAATCTTTTACCGTGCCTAATATATAAATTAAACTCTATCATAGAAATGTATGTATAGGAAAAAACACGGTGTATATAGGGTTCAGTGCTGTTCTTAGTTTCAGGGTGGTGGTGTCCTGGGTACATCCCCTGTGGATGGGGCGGGGGGTTGTGACTGTAGTTAATAGAAGCTTGACAGGAAGCCAGAAGATGATCAGAATTACTCTCTGCATGCGAGAAATATTGAAAGTTCTATTCAATTTTAGTTTGGTGGGCTGATAGTCTGGAATTTTATTCTAACACAAAGCATTATCTGATTTTAGAGTCACTTGTTTTTTTATTTTATTAAATGTATTGGGGTGACATTGGTTAATAATATTATAATTCTGTAATACATCATCTGTATATTACATGTGTGTATAGTCACTTATAAATTCAAGCCCATGAGCAAATTGAAAGGAAAATAATTGAATACATTGATCCCAAGTTCCCATCTCATAGGGTTGTAAAGATTGGTTAATACTTATGTTCATAGAACAGTGTCTGGCATGCAGTGGGTATGGTATAAGATTTAGCTGTTGTTAGTGGTAATAGTAAGTATAATTTCATTTTTATTCTAAAATGATCAAAGCTGGATCCCTCAGCCTTGCTGTACTGTTGATAACTGTTAAATGCAGCATCTGTTCCTCTGTGGGGAGCCACCTTGCTGCTCTTGTTCACCCTTGTTTAGAGTAATATCCGTCTCTTAAAACAAAGAAAAAGACTTGTTGGTTGTCTTTTTACTTTGGAGTATCTATTGGCTAGTTGATACCTTTTTAAACTTTGTTTCATTACTTAGAGAAAATATTTGTGTTTCAGGAAAGCCTTTCGGTTGTTTATGCAACATGCTGTCCTGCTCAGTACACCATCTATGAGCCAGTTATTAGACTTAAAGGTCAAGTGAAAGCCCAGCTCTCTCAAAGACCTTTCAGCTCAAAGGACGTTCAGAGCATCTCAATGGAACTTCATCATCTAAAGAATCTCCGACCTATAGAGTGTAAAACTATCCAAGGCATTCTACATGAGATTGGGGGAACTGGGATATTTGTATTTCTCTTCGCTAGGGTAAGAATCATTTATTTTAATTTTATCTAAAGAGGAACTTTTTATTATTGATAAATTTTAGGTTTCTTGTTTATTACAAAACTATACGTCAACTATATTTAACTTTTAAGATTAAAAAGATCACATGTCCTGGCAGGTGCAGCTCAGTAGGTTGAGCATCATCCCAGGCACCGAAAGGTCACCAGTTTGATTCCCAGTCAGGGCACATACCCAGGTTGCGGGTTCAGTCCCTGGTTGTATGGGAGGCAACCCATCGATGTTTCTCTCTCATATCAATGTTTCTCTTTCTCTCTCTCCCTCTCCTTTTCTCCCTAAAATCAATAAAAACATATATATTTTTAAATCACATATTTAAGGTGTCGTTAAGCTTTCTGTCACAGATAAAGTTTCTTTTAATTCATGATTATTTTAGAAATTTTTAATCTAGAAATGTAATTAGAACAATTAAATGTTAAATAAGATTAAAGTTGCCTATGAGAAAAAAAAATGCATGTTGTAGTGACAATATAGAAGACATGTATTTAAAATAAGGTTTGTGAAACTTGTTTTTCTCTTGAAGCTTCCAGATATATGAAAAAAAAAAAAAAAAACAAACAAGGGTCAACAAATAAGAACAAAAAAAGTACTTAATCTATTTGGGTTTGAAGTTTTTTTTAAAGAGAAGGAGAAATATAAAAAGTTTAACTCATGCTATGGGTGCTATATTAGCATACATTGTTTAATTGTCTGTTTCATTTAGTCATCTGAGGGCAGGGGAGTATCTTTCCTGGCATAATTAGGGAGTCAGTAAGTGTGCATGGACTGTTCTAGGGATGGCTGGAATCCAGAGCAGGGGACACAGACGCTCTCGCTTTGCCATGGACCATCTCTGCTTCCTGGGCACTCGTGTTCTTGTTCATCTAAAGCAGCCCTGAGCCTCTTCCATGTTCAGAATCTTGTCCCTAATTCTAACTTATGCAACATCATCCAGTTTTCACAGTCTCCCTACCTGGCTTTCTTGCAGGGGTGGGGAACCATTTTTCTGCCAAGGGCCATTTGAATTTATAACATCATTCGAGGGCCATACAAAATTATCAACTTAAAAATTAGCCTGCTGTATTTGGTCAGGCTAATTTGGTTAGGCATGTGATGTTAACTGGAATTGATCTCAAGGGCCTTATGTGGCCCTGTAGGCTGGGCGTTCCCCACAATGGAACCATTTTTTATTAGTTTTGCAATAAGGGACATTTTGGTATCTACTTCTCTAGCTTGTATAATTTCAAAATGTATACCCTTAGTTTTTCTTCTTTCTCAAGTTTAATATAAATTTGTTATGATCACTGCTACTCAGTGACAAGCTCCTTAGAGAAAAAGGTTAATTTTTATCTTATATATATTTAAGACTTTTAAAGTATGTTTTCACATTTAAAGCTTAGAGACCCTGTTCAGTATCTTTCCTCCTCCCCTACAAAAATGAGAGTCAATCTCCTTAAACTCCTTACTGCATGGCCCAGCTTTTAAGCCTAGTCTCCACCCTTCAGCCAAATCAGCAACCTGCTGCATCCTAGATGAAGTGTGAACATCCACTTTAGACCTGTACCCTTCCTTCTCCTGACTGTCTCCCAGCCCTGCTCCCGCAGAGCCCTGCTTTCTAGAACGGGGCTCTTTCCAGGCCGTCTTCCCTTCACGCAGGCTTCCCTGCGCCAGGCAGAGTGGACTCAGCAGATTCTGTGCCCTTGAGGTGCTCACAGTGTCTCATTCTTCTTTGCCTTTTATCATAATAAGGTGTGTGTTTCTCACATGTAGTTGTTGTGAGAAAGTGTTGCCTGAATTGATGGACAAGGTGTAATCTATGGCTTCTGTACATACGTGTCTTTTGACTGGACAGTGCTCCTCTTTATCTGTCACAGCACAAACCAGAGCCAGTTTGTTGATTGACTCAGCAAAAATTTGAAGCATTTTGCTAGCATTTCAGATAACTAATAAAATGCTACTGACTTCTAAAGTTGTTAATGTTATCGTAGTTCATTTATTTATTTATTATTTTAGAGACTAAAGAGCATGGAGCTAATCTTTCAGTTTTGTTTATTTATAATTCTTAAATAATTATACAGTGTGAGCAATAAAAATAAACTTTCAAATGAAAACTGATAGATTGATTACATAATGCTAGATAATCACATGTTAAATTTTTACTCTCAACAAACCAGAGAAAAACCTATCCCCCTTTTTTTTTTTAGGTTGTGGAACTTAGTAGCTATGAAGAAACTCAAGCATTAGCACTGAGAGTTATACTCTCATTAATTAAATACAACCAACAGAGAATACATGAATTAGAAAATTGTAATGGGCTTTCCATGATTCATCAGGTGTTGATCAAACAAAAATGCACTGTTGGCTTTCACATTTTGAAGGTATGTCCTCATAAAGTTTATTCTCATAGTTTCATGTGCAGTGATACTTCTCTCTTCATTAAAGTCTCCCAACAATAGAGTTGTGTTTCAGTTATTTCTGAAGAAAATGAAGGAATTGCAGTAGTGTAAATTTAATCAAACTAAGGTACTCCTCTGGTTTTTCCATCATTTAAATAATTGCATTTTATTATTTAAAACATTTTAGAAGAGTAAGAGAGAAAAAATACTTGTAGAACTTTAGGTCTGCGTGAGCCCAGAGGTATCTCCTAGGCTGGCCCCTCATCTTCCAGGCGATGGAATTGAGACCCTTGGAGACATTGTTGTTGCTTTGGCTCCCATGGTTCTCCAGACACCTAGTCCTAAGCATTTCCGTGAGGTCATGTTGCTATAGAGCTCATGTTTTAAAGCCATATTAGCTCTTACTACCATCCAGCTGTCATCGTACACTTAAACCTTTCTGGCTAAAAGCAGTAACACTGTGGAAGTATTTCTCTCTGAGGTTCTAGTACTAATGCAAAAGATGCTGCCTCTTCCTGTATCCCAGCCCCCCAATTCTTAAAACTCACGATCTAAACATTTATGACATGAATCCTGACCATTTGGGGGTAAAGATTTTGTAGCCTAACAGATTTATTGAATTTAAAAAATAAAAACAGAATGTGGTTTATTTTGCCCCATGTTTGAAACTGAGTAATCATGTACAAATATTTAGAAGTTTGTGTTTTTCTAATTATTTGAATTGTTTTGTAAAACAAATTAAAGATACTTTGTGAAATTCTGAATTATTCACCATTTTTCCTTTGAATTTAATGTTATGATTTTTAAGATTGAAAGCTTATAGTTTCTGTTGAATTTTCGGATGCATCGATTATTAATGCATCTTGTGTTTATGCTAATTTTCCATAGACCCTTCTTGAAGGTTGCTGTGGGGAAGATATTCTTCATCTCAATGAGAATGGAGAGTTTAAATTAGATGTGGAGTCTAAAGCTATAATCCAAGATGTTAAACTGCTCGAGGAGCTATTGCTTGACTGGAAGATATGGAATAAAGCAGAGGTATGCTTTTTTGTTTTTTTTTTCTTTATTGATTTTAGAGAGAGAGGAAGGGAAAGGGAAAGAGAGAGAGAAACATCAATCAGAGAGAACATTGATTGGCCGCCTCCTGCACACCCCCAAGTGGGGACCAGGCCCACAATACAGGCATGTGCCCTGACTGGGGATCGAACCGGCAACCTCTTGGTGCATGGGTTGATGCTCAACCACTGAGGCACACCAGCCAGGCGACATATACTTATTTTTTGTGGTGAAAAACACATGACATAAATTTACCCTCTTAAGTTTTAAGTGTACAATATAGTGTTAACTGTATGCACTGTGTTGTACAGTATCTCTAGAACCTTTTCATATTGCTTGGCTGAAACTGTGCTCATTGAAATATAAGTCCCTATTTCTCCTTTCCCCTAGTTCCTGGCAACCACTGCTCTACTTTCTGTTTCTTTGAGTTTGATTACGTTAGATACTTCATTTAAGTAGTCATTCAGTATTTGTCTTTTGTGACTGGCTTGTCTCACTTAGCATTATGTCCTCACTGTTCATCTATTGTAGCTACTGTTGTAGCATATGATAAGATTTCTTCCCTTTTTAAGACTGGAAAATGTTCCATTGTATGTATATACCACGTTTTCTTTCTTTCTTTCTTTTTAATCCTCACCCAAGGATATTTTTCCATTTATCTTCAGATAGAGTGGGAGGGAGGGAGAGGAAGAGAGAGAGAAACATTGACATGAGAGGGACACATCAACTGGTTGCCTTCCGCAGGACCCTGACCAGGAGCAGGGACGAACCGCAACCAAGGCACGTGCCCTTGACAGGAATCAAACTCGAGACTCATTGGTCCTCGGGCTGATGCTCCAGCCACTGAGCCAAACCGGCCAGGGCTATACCATGTTTTCTCTATCCATTCATCTGCCAGTGGATACTTGGATTGCTTCTACATCTTGGCTGTTGTGCATAATGCTGCAGTGAACACAGGTGTGCAAATGTCTCTTCAAGATCCTGCTTTCAATTTTTTTGAATATGTAAACCTAGAAGTGGGATTGCCGAATCATATAGTGGTTCTATTTTTAATTTTCTGAGGAATCTCCATACTATTTTCTGTAAGAGCTGCACCATTTTACCATCCCACCAACAATGTGCAAGAATTCCAATATCTCTACATCCTCGGCAACAATTGTAACTTTTTGTTTTTGCTGGTGACCGTTCTTTTGAGTGTGAGGTGACAATTATGGTTTTGATTTTTACTTTTCTTATTAGTAATAATGAGCATCTTTTTATGTATCTGTTGGCCATTTGTATATCTTCTTTGTAAAGATGTCCATTCAACTCCTTTGGCCATTTTTGAATTGGATTATTTGATGTTTCTGGTTATTGGACTTCAGGAGTTCTTTACATATTCCGGATATTAATCCCTTACCTGATACAGGGTTTGCAGATATTTTCTCCCATTCCTAGGGTGCCTTTTCATTCTGTCGATTATTTCCTTTGCTGAATGGAGAGCTATGTACTTTAAATATTCCTTCGATCATTCTTCTGGAGACCAGAACATATTACTGCTTCAGTACTGGATAATCTAAGATAGAGTCCATGTGGACAAAGAATTTGAAGGCACCTTAAAAGGATGCTAACTACTGTTTGAAGATGCACAATTTATAATTGTGCAGAGAATTCTATTATTTGGGCTTAGAAGTAAAGTAATCTAAAAATGCAGAATTTTCACACTGTCAGTGACTTTTCTCAATTTAGTACAGTTTGTTCTAAAATTATTTGATTAAATGCTGTATACACACATTAGCATTGAAGTTTATTTTTTATTTTTATTTTTTATCCTCACCTGAGGACATTTTTGCATTTATCTTCAGATAGAGCAGGAAGGAGAGAGGGAGGAAAAGAGAGAGAAAAACATATATGTGAGAGAGACACATCTACTGGTTACCACCCACATGACCCCATTCGGGGCCGGGGACAAACTGAAATTGAGGTACGTGCCCTTAGTGGGAACCGAACCCAGGATTCTCTGGACCGTGGGCTGATGCTCTAACCGCTGAGCCAAACAGGCCAGGGCAGCATTGAAGTTTATACATTTTTATTTAATTTATTTATTCTTTTTATCCTCACCTAAGGACATTTTTGCACATTTTTTTCAGATAGAGTGGGAGGGAGAGAGAGAGAGAAACTTCGATGTGAAAGGGACACATTGAGTGGCTGCCAACCACACCACCCAACCAGGGCCGCGGACAAACTGCAACTGAAGTATGTGCCCTTAGCGGAAACCAAACCCCAAGTCTCTCTGGACGGCAGGCCAATGCTCTAACTGCTGAGCCAAACCAGCCAGGGAAAGTTTATACATTTTTAATAATGCTTTTTGAAAATAAATTGTCAGCAATTATATTGAAAACATGTGATTCTCTATATTATAAATTTTAAGATAGTTCACCTTTAGAAAATATATCCATCATTTAATGCCACAGGAAGGTTAATGCACCAGAGCACCTGATGCCATACTGCATTCAATATGAGTGTTTAGGAATGCTGTATCGACAAAAAAAATATAGCCTAGGAATAAAGATTTGCTTTTTGGACAGATACCATCTTTGGCCCTAAATTTTTACCCAGTGGTAAACTGATATAGTGCCTGTCTTCTAGAAAGCACAGAGCATGTTCTTCAGTAACTGAGTTAATCGGTGTGTATGTTCACTTTCTCAGCCAGGTGTTTGGGAAACTCTGCTAGCAGCTCTGGAAGTGCTCATCCGAGCAGACCACCAGCACCAGATGTTGAATGTCAAGCAGTTATTGAAAGCACGGGTCGTTCATCACTTTCTACTGACTTGTCAGGTTTTGCAGGTACTTTTCATGTAGCTTTACTTTTGGAGATACTTTTTTGCAGTTACTTCTGTTTAATAACTCAGTATTATGGACTCAAATTTTTGTCAATGGAATTTTTCTCTTTTCCCACTTACCTACTTTCCCTCATGCCTTCTTTCAACAAATAGTACAGGCGTTTTTCAACCCCTGCCTGTTATAGTTTGATCTTCACACTGTCATTGTTCCTAACTCAATTACAAAGGAGTAACAACTATTGAATTTCTGAGATGTTTCTTTATGTTGGGATATAATGATATTATATTATTGAACAGATTTGTCTCTTGACCATCAACAATAGTGAAAGTCTGACTTATTCCGAGCTTTGCACAGTGGCGGTATCATAGCCAATGAGGTTTATCTGAGGCACAATTATTGCTAACTAAACCTTGTTCCACTTTCTTTATTTTATTTTGTTTTTTTAACTTATCTTTATTGTTGAAAGTATTACAGATGTTCCTCTTTTTTCCCCTATTGACCCCCTCCTCCCCACTCCCACCCCCTTCCTGCCTTTCCCCACACTGTTGTCTGTGTCCATTGGTTATGCATATAAGTTTTTTTGTTTATTTCTACCCACCCCCCACCTCCCTTCCCTTTGAGGTTTGTCTAACAACCAATTTGTACTTCTTAATCCCTTCAACTTTTCCCCCCATTCCCCCAACCTCCCTCCCATCTGGCAACCAACAGAATGTTCTCTGTATCTATGAGAATGTTTCTGTTCTGCTTGTTCATTTTGTTTGTAGATTCAATTGTCGATAGATATGTATTTATTGCCATTTTGTTTGTTCATATTTTTTATCTTTTTCTTCAAGAAGACCCTTCAACATTTCATATAATAATGGTTTGGTGGTGATGAACTCTTTTAGCTTTTTCTTGTCTGGGAAACTCTTTATATGGCCATCAATTCTAAATGACAGCTTTGCAGGATAGAGTAATCTTGGTTGTAGGTTGTTGCTTTTCATCACTCTGAATATTACTTGCCACTCCCTTTTGGCCTGCACAGTTTCTTTTGAGAAATCAGCTGAAAGGCTTATGGGAACTCCCTTGTAGGTAACTAACTGCTTTTCTCTTGCTGCTTTTAAGATTCTCTCTTTGTCTTGAACCTTTTACATTTTGATGATGATGTGTCTTGGTGTGGGTCTCTTGGGGTTCATCTTGTTTGGGACTCTCTGTGCTTCCTGGACTTGTATGTCTGTTTTCTTCACCAAGTTAGAGAAGTTTTCTGTCATTATTTTCTCATATAGGTTTTCCATTTCTTTTTCTCTCTCTTCTCCTTCTGGCACCCCCAAGATGCAAATGTTGGTACGTTTGAAGTTGTCCCAGAGGCTCCTTATACTATCCTCATTTTTTTGGATTCTTTTTTCTTTTTTCTGTTCTGGTTGGGTGTTTTTGCTTCCTTATATTCCAAATCAATGGTTTGTTTCTTGGCTTTACCTACTTTACTATTGAATCTGTGTAAATTATTCTTTATTTCAGTTAATGCCTCCTTCATGTCTGACTGTGCATCCTTTATTTCTTACTGGTCCTTCTTTATGCTCTTGAGGCCTTCACTAAGTTTATTGATTGAAGTTCTAAGTTCATTGAGCATACTTATAAGCAGTGTTTTGTTGTTGTTGTTGTTTTATTCTCACCCGAGGACATTCTTGCATTTACCTTTAGGTAGAGCAGGAGGGCGAGAGGGAGGAAGAGAGAGAGAAACATATGTGAGAGAGACACATCAAGTGGCTGCCACCCACACGACCCCAACTGGGGCTGAGGACAAACTGCAACTGAGGTACATGCACCTAGCAGGAACCGAACCCGGGACTCTCTGGTCCACGGGCCGATGCTCTAATCGCTGAGCCAAACAGACCAGGGCATAAGCAGTATTTTGAACTCTCATTTGTTAGGTTGCTTATCTCCATTTCGCTTTGTTCTTTTCCTGAAGTTTTGTTCTGTTCTTTCATTTGGGACCTATTTCTTTGTCTCCTCATTTTGGCTGCCTCCCTGTGTTTGTTTCTATATAGGTATTACTTAACGAGAGGTATGGGGCTAGCTGAGACCAGATGCTGCTTGTTAGAAAGAATTTAGGAAAACCTGAAGCAGGATCCAAGACAGGCCAATCCTATAGTAAAGCAACTGGCAACAGTTTGGGTGGGCCTGAAAGTTGGGCGGGGCGGGGCCTCAGGGAATCAGCAGGGTGGGGCCAACAGTGTGAGCCAGGTTGCTGGAGTCCAAGATATGGCTGATGTCTGCCTGCCCTGTGGGGGAAGGGCTCACCAATGGAACAAAGGCCTCTGACAGCACGTCTGTCCAGGAGAAAGCTACCTCTCCAGCCCTTGCTCTAATGCCAAACAACTCAGTTCTTCCCCTTATGTCTCTGGTGCCTTTCAAACTGCCTCCCCCATGCTGGAGGCTACAGGTTGGGAGTCTGAGTAAGTTTGTGCATAGGCCCTTTAAGAGGAGCTGCCTGGGGCTCCAGCAGCCTCAGCCTCCCTGAGCCTCAGTTCCTGCTGGTTTTCCAGCCAGAAGTGATGGGGATTCTCTTCTTGGTCCTGGAACCCTGAGTTGGGCACCTGGTGTGGGACAGGGCCCCCTCACTTCTCAGGGATAACCTTCCCAGCCGAGGTGTCCTCCTGATTTTTATCTGCCACCCGTGGGTGTGGGACCAGCCTGTCTGCCTCTGCCCCTCCTACCAGTCTCCATGTGGCTACTTCTTTAATTTTGTAGTTGTAGGACTTCCATTCAGCTTGATTTCATATAGTTTTGAATGATGGTTGTTCTTTAGTTTAGTTGTAACTTTGATGTGGTTGTGGGAGGAGGCGATACTGCGTTTACCTACCCGCCATCTTGACCGAAAGTTTTGTTCCACATTCTTTAAATAACAAGTACAATATACCCTTCCCCCTTTCTCTACTTGCTCTCACTCTGTTAGTTTTATGTCAGTTTTGACATCACAGTTTATTTCTCTCTGTAAACCTCCTGAGGGCAGGGATAATGTTTTTGTTGATCACACTATGGCTCTAGTACCTGGCACAGATAGGCACAAAACACAAAAATACTTTATTGTCTTTGTTGGCCCTGTGGTAAACTAGACTGTTGTCTTCTGGAATATGATAAAGGGCTCTCCAGCCCTTTGCTTACTGAATATTTTCTGAATTATTTACACATCAGTGGTCCTCTAAGTCATATCCATTCTTGGTATATCCATTTTGAAATCTGTTGCCAATTTTCAGTGAGTTTATATAACAATGTAAAATTCTTATTCAGTCTTTCCATGTCAGAAAAGTAATGTATAAATTTGAATATTTAAGTATATAGTCCCACTTCTATATTATTTCTGAAATGGTAGAAAAATCCAGGTACCAGTCCTTTTCCTGAAAAGTATATTTCTTCACCCTTCTTCATTCAAGTTGCCTATTTATCAAATTGACATTTTTTAAGAATAGCGTTATGTTAAGTGTTATGGGAAGTATATAAAGAAATGAACGTAGTCGTTGCCTTTAAGGTATATCAGAGTATTTAAGGAAGAGGAACCCATTGGTGGCATGTCGGATGTGAGGCAGTTCATTAGTTCATGAATGTAGTGTGGAGATCTGAACTTGGGTGATGAGAACAGGAGTATATAAGTAGGGAGCAAATATGAAGGAGATTGATTCTGTTTAAGTAGAAGCTGTAGGAGAATCAAATACATCATGTAAAATTTCCCACTGGGAGACTAAGAGAATGATAGCACTATCCAAGAAAGAAGAATGAAACTTGCCATTTTTGTCATTTACACCCTCTCCATTTGACATTACAATGGCCGTTCAGTGTGAGTGACCCCCAGGCACTGAGATGTGCGGAGAGGATCAGAGAGGGAAGTTGGGATTGGCCTGCACTGGCAAAGAGCAAAGCCATGGAGATAGATAGGACTGAAGATAAGTAGCGTGAGAGGATCCTGCACCTCAGGAAGCATCCATTCCAGAGTGTGAAGGACAAAGGAGCTATAGGAAAAGAGAGAAAGAGTCCTCAAAGAGAGAACCTGCCCAGAAAGAGGCAGTCTCTATGCCAAATATTAGAAAGTTCACTGAACAGGTAGATGTAAAGGGCTGTTGACTTGGCTGTTCTGAGTGCCTGGTAGGATTTCAGAACATGAAGAAGAGCCAGATGTCGGGGCCTTTAGGAGGCGTGTGCAGTAGAATCATTGGAGGTGGTGAGAGTTAATGATGATTGAAAAGTCCAGCAGCAAAAGAGAAAAACAGAATATTAACAAAAGGGTCCCAACAGGTCAAGTTCAGAGATTTTTTTTTCTTTAATGAAATAGGATACCAGTGACTATCTGTAAGATGTCACTGGGGAGGGCAAGATTGAAGAAATATGGGCTGGGATAGACTTAGGAATTAATGACTGAGGTGGCAACCAGGAGATTTGGGACAATGGAGCAGCACAACTTAGTAAAAGGGCAGCTGATCGTAGCAGAAATAGCACTGGACTGGAAGTCAGGAGACCTGTGTTCTCAGCTTGGCATGGCACTGGTCACTGTGAGACTTGGCAAAGGGGTTTCGTGCTTCATTTGCAGACTCAGTTCTCTTCTTCCATCTGAGGTCGTCAGACTAAACTGTTTCAAAGTTGCCAGCTAGGTTTTACATTTTCTGACTTAGCAATACACAGAGTAAGTAAAGAAGAGTGAGTGTTGAGATGTATATATTTGAACATGGAAGAGGGAAGATGGGGAAGTCTAGCTCCCATAGCCTTCATTTAGAGGCCAGCTGCTCCCCAGTGGGGATGAATATAATGTATTTAGATCCATCTTTACTCTTAGTACTGACTTGGCAGTCTGCCAGGTCTCATTATTCCAGGCAGCAGGTGACAATGTGGAGAGACAGTGGTAGTCTGAGTCTGAGTTGTTGCCGCACTGTTTTCTGTGTAGTTTACGTTGTCGGATATGTAACCACTTTGAGCCTGCATGTTCTAGAAGTGAGGGATAAAACCTCTCAGAGCTGCTGTGAGAAAGCCTTTTGTCACCTGGGGCATGCAGTGTGAATGTCATTGGTTTGGCTATCAAAAATTGTCCCTCTAATCCCATAGTAGCAGATGTAGTGATCGCAGTGATAATAGTACCAATAGTGGCAATATTTGCATGTGAGGCACTGTTCCAAGAGTTCATGCCATTTATTCTTGATGCAGTCCTTTGAATTAACACTAGAATTACAGCGTTCTCACATGATACTGTGTGGCATGGAGTTAGTAACTGTGCCCAAAGTCACACAGCTAGTGAGCGGAGGGGCTGGAATGCAAACCTAGGCAGCTTGAATCCCTGCAATGCTGGAGTACAACTTTGCCTCAGTTAGTTAAGATAAATGGGCTAGAATTAAATTGCCATTGGTTTTAATGAGTTTTTAATAGCAGAACTGCTTGAATTGAAAAATAGCAACTGAAAATAATGGTAAATATGGTCAGTCCAGAGCAGTAACCCAACATAATTTTATCTTAAAAAGAATATCTTGCTTAAATGAAATATGTTATTTAAGTTGACAGTTCACTTTAAATCTAAAGAGAGTTTGATTTTTATTTTTTTCAGGAACACAAAGAGGGGCAGTTTACATCCATGCCCCTAGAGGTTTGTAGATCATTTGTGAAAATTATAGCAGAAGTCCTTGGATCTCCTCCAGATTTGGAATTATTGACAATAATCTTCAATTTCCTTTTAGCAGTTCACCCTCCTACTAATACTTATGTTTGTCACAACTCCACAAACTTCTACTTTTCTTTGCACATAGGTAAGTATAATCATTTTTGTTAGATCTTGGTGGTCTCCATTTTTGTTTTTCCTTCCCACTTCATCCACATTTGTTTAATATTCATTGAATGGCCTCTGTGTGACAGAAACTATCCTAATTACACACTGTGGTTAGAAGAGGGCAGAGGGCTATGAAATAAACCAGACATGGTCTCTGCCTTCAGAGAGCTTAAATGCGAAAAGGAGAGAGGAGGTATAACTCACATACTACAGTAGGAAGCAGAACTGGGTAAGTACCTAATAGACACAGCAGAAGACCTGGCTAGATCTCAGAGGTTTTATCCGACAGCTGTGGAAAGAGAAGATTTAATAGCCTAAGTTTCTGACACTGAGGAATTTAGGTAGATTTTGATAGGTAGATTGGAAAATTAGCATTCCAGGTGAAAAGAATGATATAAAGGGAGGAAAAATAGAAAGAAAAAATAAAGAATAATGAATTTTACTTAGGTATAGAAGATCTATAAAGGAGTAGTGAGAAATAATACCATAAAAATAGTTAGGGACCGTCATTTATTTTTTTCTCTAAGGTCATATTAATTGAGTCCTTGGATGTAAGAATTTGAACTTGTAGCATTCTAGTTAGGGGTCATTGAAGGGTTTGATTTTGTTGTGTGTTTTAAGCAGAGATATGGTATAAGTAAATTACTGCAGAAATTCAGGAAGAGAAACTACCCACATAGAAGTGAGTTGAAACTCAAGAATAGATGAGACCACTGAAGAAAAGTGGAGAGAGGTAGAAGGAAAGGGAAACTAAGGATAGACCTATTGGCAGTAATAATATTGAAGGAGTGGGATGAGAAAATAATCAGTATAGAAACAGATGGACTAATCAGACTTTTAAAAGAACTAGGAAAATGTAATGAGGTAAGAAAGAAAGACCATACCTACAAAAAAGCTAGATCGTAACTTTAGAGAGGAAAAATGGCTGTAAAACAGCCATTTTAAGGAGTGTAATAAATGAATAAACTGATGCAGCAGCAGTAAAAATCCAAGTGAAATTAGGCAGCATGACATTGGGTTGGGTTCAGCACACATTTAGTGACTGAAGTACCATCAAGATTCTAAGAGCAGTGTAATTGCAAAGATGAGTAAAATATTGTTCCCTCTCTTAAGGAGCTTACAGCCTAGAAGAGGGGAGAGAGACAGAAACAAATCATTACATTGTGTGGAAAGCACAGTGATACAAATACTTTGTTTTCTAGTAACATGGAGCACAGTGAGGGGATGTTTCCTGGATTAGGTACCGCCTGCTCTGATCTTCAGGGTTGACCAGGAGTTGAAGAGAAGGGCCTCACAGGCAAAGCAAGCAGCTTGATGGAGCTGTGAGAACTAGGTGTTGCTAAAGTATAATGTAAGAAAAAAGACTGGAAGGGGCCTGGGGACAGATTGTGGAGATTGTTGTAGCCAAGGTGCTTGTCCAGAGTGGTAAGGAGGCAGCAGAGAGCCACTGGAAGGTTTTAAGCAGGGGTTGACACTTGATAGAATATTGGCAGCAATGAGGATTTAAGGGAGACCATATGTCCATCACGAGTACCATGTAGAAGTCCGTGACAGTAACCCAGGTCAGAGGTGACAAGAGTCTGCATTATGGGACTATGCAGGGGATGAGAAGAGTTTAGGAAACAGGAAATAAAGTCCATAGAACCTGGAGCCTGACTGGATGTGGGTGAAGGAAAGGTAATGATCAAGGTGCCTCTAGGTTTCTGTGTGGGAAATGGGTGCTTCTGCCAGACCAGAGAACAAAGCAGGAGTGGATTTAGAGCAGAAGGATGGTTCAGGGTTAGATGTGTTGCATTTGTGATACATTTAAGAACTCGGGCTGTTGAATTTACAAATAGGAAGCTCAGAAAGAAGATTAAGCTATACGTATCAATTTTGGAATCATTTAGGACCTTGAAGGGCATATATTTAAATATAAGACACAGTCCTTTCCTCAACGAATAAAAAGATGAACAGTCTCCTTAGAGAGATCAGATCAACATAAAACGTGAACAGTTAGCTGTTCAACTATAGAAATACCTAAGTACAGCAGGAATTCAAGGAAAATAATAATAGTCCACAAAAAATCTATAGTAAGAAATTGGCCAGTACCCACAGATCAAATGTGCACTAGTATAAAGGATGCCATATTTTTCACTTTGAACATCTTTTGTGTTTTTGTAAAAATTTATATTTAATACTTGCTTTTAAAGTTAAATTTTTGTTTTATGCCTTTCAAAATTTTTACTGTTTTAAAATTCTATTTCAATTCTAGATGGTAGGATCTTCCAGGAGAAAGTAGAGTCGATCATGTACCTGAGACATTCCAGCAGCAGTGGAAAGGCTGTCCCCGGCCCTGGTCTGATGACAATCAGCCCGTCTGGTTTTACCGCTTCACTACCTGAAGGTAAAAACCATGCGAATGAAAGCATACCCTTCCCAATTTAGTTCTGAGTAGTAGTAGATACGTAGTGTCGGTGTTTCAGCACTGCAGTATAAACTGATATTCAGACTAAATAAATGGAAGGTTAAACTCAGAAGTATCGAATATGTTTAAGGAATCCACTCCACTCCTTTCTGGTATCAGTGACTCTCACTCAGTCTAATAGGAGATGCTCGGGAGAACTTAGAAAATGTACTATCTTGTTCTCCAGCTCTCTGTTCCTCGTCATGGTCATTTGTCTTTGAGCTTCTCACTTATTTCCCCACTGTATTCAGAGCTTTGCTTGCTTGCTTTCTCCTTCCTGCCTAAACTCAGCATTCTGGACAATTTCACTTGCTATGTGAATGGCCATCCAGTACTCCAGTCTCACCGTCGTTGACCCTGGGAACCTTTCCCTCAACTTTGTCTGCCAGTGTGAGTGCATCTGTCCTGGCCTTCAGCAGCAGCAGGAACGCTCCCACCTCAGAAACTCGTGTCCCGCTCCCCAGTGACAGGCTTCTGTCTTCATCACCCTCCCATGTTCCCTTTCTCCTGTTTTCCTCATCCAGCCTAGATCCCTTTAACCAATAGTTTTCTTGACACTGTCTTCTGTTTCCTTGTCTTCTTGGCCTTTTTGGCATTCTTGACCTGAAAAGCCCTAACCTTGCCTCAATCTAACCATCCTCACACTGCTGAAAGCTGCTAGACAAAGTCATTGCTAGGATTACTGCCAGTGCAAGGGTCTCCGACTGTCACTAGCCTTTTAATGCTGGCTGCCCTGTAATTTTTCTGTATGTCCAGAATTAATTCCCTGTTCTGTTTTCATAGTAAGTACGTTCAAATATTTAAGCTTACAGCCTTCTGCTACCTTCCTAATTTACTCCTAACAGACTACCTCATCCTTACTGCTATAAAGAAAAAAATGGTACGTGTGTGTTGGTTGTGACTGGCTGTGCAACTTCTTTCCTGACTGCTGGCCTATTCGGCACCGTGGTGGTGCTTTTATTGTCAGCCCCACCCAGTCTTGTCTTGGGCTGCAATACAAATTATCAATCACTGCAGGTGAAGTGGACATATGGACAGGTAGGATGAGATATATAGGCATTCATCTCCAGCTTTGTTTCTCTCCCAAAGCATTTCAGTTATTCTCTAGCACATTTTTATGGCCTTTTATTATATTATTTTAAGACTATGTTTTAATTAATGTTATTTTATAGCAAATGTCTATTTTTAAGAATAATTATGCATCATTCTGAAACAGTTTCAAATGCAACCTTTTTTTCCAGCTCTTTTGAACAGAATCTTTTAGCAGCCTTAGCCCTCCAGTCAAATCCAGAAATAACTAGGAAAAACTTCTGAGCTGTGGAGCTGTTTTATTACCACAAAGGCTGTGCCCTAAAGCAGTTCATTGAATGCTATTCATTCTGTATGAGGGCTTCTTAGGTTTTAGCATGCAAAAAAAATCAGCTGGAGAGCTTGTTAAAACGCAGATCCCTGCTCCACATTCTGGTTCAGTAGACCTAGGGTAGAACCTGAGAATGTGCATTTCTAACAGTCATATAGTGGCACTGATCCCCAGCTACTGGTGCATTGACCACACCATAGCATTCACTTATATCTCATGCACTTAGAATGAGTGATTTTTCTGGTCTCCTACAAAGAATATTAGAAGCAGCAAATTGAGAGCTATAGCAAGAAGGGGGAAAAAACCATTGCTTCTCACTAGAGGCAGTAAGAAGTGACTACAGAAAGGGGGGAGAATGGCTTATGTTCATTTAATCTAATAATAATAACAAGACGACTATTACTGCCGTTTAGCAAGCACCTGTTTGGTGCCAGCCATTGTGATCGGCACATCGCAAATATGATCTCACTTCATCCTTAAAGCAACCTTCAAAGTAGACAATTCCAAATCCTCACTTTACATTTTCAAAAACCAGCATTTGTAAAATTAAATGGTTTACTCAAGACCTACCTACCTAACAGAACTATCACTTGAATCCAGTTACAGCTGCAAAGCTACTTTGCCACTATCTCACACTGCTTCCCAGTGACTACAGTTAAATTAGGTTTTACCTAATTTCACTACAGTAGAATCACCACTCCTAATGATTTTGAATCATTCAGTTAATATTGTATTTTGTTAACTAGATGGGAAAAGACATACATTTTTAGAAGATTTTAATTAAAAATAGTTAATAATTCAAGCACTCAAGAATTTTAAACATTAGTTACTAGGAACATTGACCTATATAGATTCTTTAAGGTTGCTGGGTAAACAGGTTATTGCTATGGTTATGACTGATAGTGCAGAAAGGAAATGGTCCCACTTAACAGGTTTTTAGGTAGTATCTTTCTGTCTACTCTTACCAGGAAACAGTTCCTCCAGTAGTGTTCTACTGCCGACGGCTGCCAACCTGCGGCGTTCTAGAAGCCTGCCAGCACTTCCCACTTCTTCTCTCACGCCACCACAAAAGATGACTGGAAGTTCGGACTGTGGCCTTGACAAGTTACAAAGTACTGCAGATGATCATGTTGCTTCCCAACCTGAGAAATGGAATCTTCCGGGGAGTTCGGAGACACTGAGAAAAGGCGAAGAGGATGCATTCGTCAGTAGCTGTGAATCTGCAAAAACTATTTCTGAGATGGAAGCTGTCCTTTCAGGACAAGCTTCTGTCAGTGGTGTTCCCAGAGGAACATTGGAGTTTCTGGTGGTCAAAGTAGATCAGAAAGAGTTGGATGCAGAACCCAGAGCAGATGGTGACAGCCCTGGGGACGAATCCTGCCCACGCCGCCCTGATTACCTAAAGGGGCTGGCCTCATTCCAGCGAAGCCACAGCACCATTGCAAGCCTAGGGCTAGCTTTCCCTTCACAGAATGGATCTGCAGCCATCCGCCAATGGCCAAGTCTTGTTGACAGGAACACCGAGGACTGGGAAAACTTTGCCTTTTCTCCTGGTTATGAGCCAAACTACTACCGAACTACAGATGTTCACAGGTACTCACATATTTTGGCATGCCTCCCCCTTCCACATGTTTACTGTTCTTTTAAGACTTCTAAAATGGCTTCTTACAATGTAACATACATTAATGACAAACAAAGATACCTTTCTCCTTATTATAATACTAGGTAATATTGAATTCCATATTTAACCAAATGCTAAACCATAAATAGCTCTCAAAGAAAACAATCTTATGGTTTATTTAATTCTTTATGGTTATTAGAGAAAAAACTCTTCAGTTCAGGGAAATTATAAGATTTACTATTGTTTCCAGAAGCACCTCAAGGAGCATGGTCCAATGAAACTGTGTGCAACAATGGAAATGTCTCACCTGTGCTGTCCAACCTAGTACACACTGGCTGCATGTGCCTGTGGAGCCCCTGAAGTGTGGCCAGTGCAGAGGAGTAGCTGAATTTTTTATCTAATTTAAATTGGTTCGCATAGCACAAGTAGCTAGTGACTATAGTATTGGACTTCACTGGTATGGAAGTGTTTAGGAGACTATATGCCTAAAAAATACCAGTGACAAAAACTGATGACAAATTTGTGAATCACAGTTAAACCAGGAAACATTTTTATTTTTTATTATTATTATTATTATTTTATCCTCACCCAAGGATATTTTTTGCATTTATCTTCAGATAGAGCGGGAGGGAGAGAGGGGGAAGAAAGAGCGAGCAACATCTATGTGAAAGATACACTGAGTGGTTGCCACCCACACTACCCCAACGGCAGTAACAAACTGCAACCAAGGTACATGCCCTTACCAGGAACCAAACCCGGGACTCTTCGGTCCACAGGCCAACGCTCCAGCTGCTGAGCCAAACCAGCCAGGGCAGGAAACATTTTTAAATGTTAATATTATGAACTTTTGTTTCACATGTTAAAATGACTACTATAGTCATGCAATACAGTCCATAAGGGACCACATATACGATGGCAGTATACCCTCTAGCTGAGGTATGCGATAGGTTATACCATCCAGGTGTGTGTGAGTGCATTCTGTGATTGCACTAGGACGAAATTGCCTAATGACGTATTTCTCAGAACGTATCCCAGTCATTAAGCGGCTCATGACTGTACTCATCACAGTTCCTAAGGAAATAGTCATGTCCTTACCTCCCTGATACTGTGTTAGTAAGAGTTTTTGGGTCTGTTTTAGTGTAACTGAAGATTGTTTGATTCCTATATGCTGTGGATTATATGAGCTCTTAAGTGGAGTTCTCCTCATCCTACCTGACGTTATGCTTGAAGACGTGATGGACAAGCTTATTCATGCAGAGGTGCTGTTAGTCCTCATGAACCACCCCTCGCCTGCTATTCAGCAAGGAGTTATTAAAGTAAGGACAAATACTAGATGTGGCTTTAATTCAGAGAAATAAATATATGTGGGATTTATTATTTGAATATATATGTTCAAGTAAACCTAAAGCTTTATTTTAAACTTAGGAATAATTATAATTTCTTTCTTCTTACTGATATTTCCATGTGCATTATCATGTAATTTTAAGCCCTCCTCCATAGTCTCAGAATTTAGACATTTACTTCAGGTTTTAACTCAGATGTCATCTTTTCAAAGAGGCCTTCCCTGATCACCTTCTAATAGTTTCCCTCCAGCCCTGCTCTTCGCTTATCCTATCATGCACCCTAGTTTTGTCTTGTAATCACCTTCTTGATTTATTTGTGTACTTGTGGGTTTTTTTAATCTTCCACACTGAAATATAAGCTCCATGAGTGTAGGCATCTGGTGTCTGTGTGTATGTAATGTGTAATCTGGTATATAATGTGTAATCACTTGCAATTCAACCCAGTATTTATTGAGCTTCCATTTCATGTGCAAAAAACCCAGCATAGTTGCTATGTGGGATATAAAGGGGAATAATATATGCCCATACATTCAAGGAGCATATAGTCCAGTGAGGGAGAGAGAAATATACCCAAGTAAGTAAAATGTAAGGACTTCTGTGATGAGCACTTCAGTAGCAGTATTAGCAAAAGAAGAGAGGGAGCACATGAAAAGCAATTAGTTCTGAGGGAGGAGCCAAGGAGAGATTTGTGCAAAAGGTGTATTTTGTATTATGCTGTGAACTTAAAAAGCTTTTCAAGTAGAGCAGTAAATAGATATGTGTTTTGGGAAAAAGAATCTGTCACCACTGTGAGGGAGTCATTGCAGGGGGGAAAGGTGGCAGTGTTCTCTGAAAGACTAGCACAGTAGTGCAGGGGAGAAATGATGAGTTCCTGATCTAGGGAAATGGAAATTCAAAGGACGGACAGATTGGAGAGACATTGGCTGGAAGTGAGGAACGGTACCTTTATAATTACACATGGGGAGTCAAGATAAGCAAAGGTTAGCCCTGAATCTAGGAAGATGATGCTACTGTGCTCTGAGAACAGAACCGTGGAAGAAGTGAGTTTGGAGGGAAAAATAATTAATTTGGTTTTACACATGTTATGTTTAAGATGCTAGGGAAGGGTGGAAAAATAGGCCTGTGTTTAGGATGAATAATCTGTCAAGAAGTCTGGAAACAGATCTAGCTAGTGCTACACATACACACTTGCAGAGAGAGCATAGAACAGTGTTGACTGATTTATTTTTCCTTCAGAATTAGGCAGATATTCTCCAAATATTTGACTAAGGCTGCCAGTCCACTAAGTGTCATGTTTAGCTAAAAAGCTAGTTTTCCCATCACAAAAGTATTAAGGATTCCAAGATAGAGTCATTATTAGCCTTCTGTAATAGTCAGAGACAAAGTTCATTTTGTTTTGCTATGGAGGTTGCATTTTTCAACTTACTATGTTCTATACATGAAATTAAACAATAACTTACAAATACAAGTATAATAACTGATTTCTATACATTATATATAATTTTAATACATTATCTAAATCGTTTTAATTTTTCCCCTAGCTATTAGATGCATATTTTAATAGAGCATCTAAGGAACAAAAAGATAAATTTTTGAAGAATCGTGGCTTTTCCTTGCTAGCCAACCAGCTGTATCTTCATCGAGGAACCCAGGAGCTGTTAGAGTGCTTCACAGAAATGTTCTTCGGTCGACATATTGGCCCTGATGAAGAGTAAGTGGATTCCTCCCTCCACCATAATTGAGGACCTTTTGTCTTAAATGTAAAATTTAAGTAACTGGCTTTTAAAATTATGTGGTCACTTTTAGAAAAAATCTGCCAGAAGTCATTTTCCAGGTGAATCAATTTATTATTTTCCATGTGATAGTCTTTCTAATATAACTTCTTCCTTTGTATTTCATTCACTAGCTAGAGACTAGAAATGTACATGCTGTATCAGATGAAAAAAAGCGAGAGTTCAGATTAGACATCTAGTATTAACATGAGATGGTGACTGAACAAAAAGGTGCTTCATGTGTTCTCACAATTACATGAGTGGCCCATAAAGAAGCCCCTCTGTCCCCTCGGAGCCTTCAGCTTGTCTGGGAGAAGAGCCAGTCAGTCACCTAGAATTCCTGGTGCACAGATTACTGAGCTCTGACCCTGGCAAAATACTGAATGATTAGCAAATAAACACAAAAATAAAATAATGTTTTCTTCTAAGCCAGCAGTTTGGTAGGAAAGTTAAACTGTTATTTCTGTCTATGATAGAGAAAAATGAGTGTCTCATTATTATTATTATTATTATTATTATTATTATTAAGTGCCTCCTGGTAATTATTAAGTAGACCAATTCAAACCTTGAGGACTTTATTTAATGTGGTCATGACAGCAGTACTTTTAATTTCCATACAGCTTTTGGCTCCTTCAGAGTGATTCTGCATTATCTCATTTGATTCTCACAACAGTCTTGAGAAAAAGGGCAGATATCACCACCTTTATTTGACAGATAAGGAAAATGAGGCACTAAATGCTTGGATAGTCTCCCTCCATGACAGAGGCAAATAGTACAGGGACAAGAGATCAAGACCTTTTGCTAGATCTTTGTTTACTAGCTCATGTCTGTCATATGCCATGTAAAATTATTATTATTGTTGTTATTTTTTCTCTGCACCTGTTATATAGACCCCTAAGGGGCCAATGGACAAATTAAAGTGAGTCACTTAAAACCATGAAATTGTTTACATGTTTCATCTGTATATTTGTGTATTTACCTTCAGACAGACTTCTAACTCCTTTATCTTATTTTTGGAAGGGCCTATAATCTAAAAAAAGATGAACATCCTCGCTCCTCGAATTTATTTTTTATAGCCTCAAAGTAAAGCTAATAAACGGCCCATATTGTAATCATTTTTCCTTATTTTGTGGTTAATTTTTTCTAATATGCTCTTAACTGTGTATTATTTATTATAGATTTGATCAGGAAGATGTGAAAAACGTGGGACTTTTTCAGAAGTGGGCTGTCATTCCTATTCTGGGACTTATAGAGACCTCTCTATATGACAACACCCTCTTGCATAATGCTCTCCTACTTCTCCTCCAAATACTAAATTCTTGTTCTAAGGTAGCAGATATGTTGTTGGATAATGGTCTTCTCTACGTGTTGTGTAATACAGTAGCAGCCCTGAACGGATTAGAAAAGAAGTAAGTTTTAAACCGTTATTTAAAGCTACATCTGATAAATACTTTGGAAAGAGAGAACTTTAGTAATAGGTTACATTAAAGCATCTGATTTTTCATAGTGCTTTCAAAGAACTTCTTTCCTATACTGACTAAATTAAGTTATATTAAATTTGGAGGGGACATATTTGCCATCATTTTCAACAATGTTTGGTTAAACGAAGATATTTATATGACCTTTTAGGTATCTAGAACCTGAAGACAAGTTGAATAAATTTAACTGTCTTCAAATACAGGGTGGGGCAAAAATAGGTTTACAGTTGTTCATATGGAAAAGTAATATTATAATTAATGAATAATAATACAAGAATAAACTCTGTGTTTCACATACAACTGTAAACCTACTTTGCCTCACCCTGCATGTTTACCAAGCTTCCACTTTAGTCTTATAAAAATTATTATGCCATCAGGAATAGGAAATTGAAGAAGAAAGAGAGAGTCACTTGAAGATCACACAACTATTAAGTAGCAGAGAACTTGACACTGTGTCTCTCACTTCAGAAGCCTGTGTTTTGAACTCGAATGCTATTCTTCTTCTATTGTCTGCTACCATAAATCAATCTCTCATCACCAAAGTATATTGGCAAGTGTCTGTCCACCAAATTGATTAACAGCTTTAAGAAATATGCTAGGAGATTATATTTTTATTGGAATGTCGTGCCTCTGGTATTTGCATGTATGATGTACAGTATGATATTTTATTAGCATAATTATAAAATATAAATCTCCAGAAGCATTATCTTATTGCATGTTCAAGCATGAAATATTATCTACATTTCTGCAGAGAAAGTGGAGCATATCCTGGTGTTTGTCAGGCCAGCGATTTTCGACCAGTGTGCTGCAAGAATTTTTAAAACATGCAATACCTGACTCTTTAGTCAGGGGCATTGACCTCTTTTCCCTTAGATTGTCAAATAGAAAAATGGCAACAACCAACACAACAATAGCTGTCTGGTGTGAATGAATCAAAATTATACCTATTTTTTTTTTATGGTCAGATCAGCTAAAAAATATTTTTTTTGGTGTGCCACAAATTTTAGTAATCAGTTTATGTGTGCCCGAGAGGAAAAGGTTGGAAATTGCTGCTCTAGGCCAAGTAGGTTCTGTGAGTACAACAGACACTCCTTGTACTCAGCTCAGTTCCATTTTTATTGGGCACCTGTTCTATTTAGGGTCTGTGTGCTAGGCATATGAGAAATACAAATTATATTTCCTCAAAACAGTTAGCCTTGATTACAATACAAAGCATGAAATTGGTAGAACTCAGAAAGAGTGCCTGCAGGCTTCTTCTAAAAGTAACGTGTTTAAAAAAAAAAAAAAAATTGATATGCACAACCAGTGGACACAGACATTAGGTTGGGGAAAGCAGGAGTGGGGTGGGAACAAGAAGGAGGAGGTCAGTGGGGGAAAGAGGGGGACATCTGTAATACAACAATAAAAAAAAATGAAAGTAAATAAATAAATAAATTGTACTTGCTGAATGTTGCTAATATACTACTTTATTAATTGGTCCAAAATAATTGCCATTTCTAACTTATTTTATTTGGAAAAGTAAATGGAGATAAGTGTGCTTAGGTAGATTATCAATGTTAAAAATTGAGGGACAGAATAACTAATTCATATGTATTAGGTATTTATAAGTGATTAATACGTGTTCAAATCTATTCTCTCTTTGAATCCTAAAAATAACTATAATTTGTATATGTGAGATTCAGGGAGGTTAATTATCGTATCCAAATTCAACTTCTCTGAGAAGCCTTCTCCGAATGGTCCTATTCATACCTATAGAATCTCCACCTTTAGTGTGGGTTAGAAATCTGTCTATATGTTCCCATAGTAGCTGTGTTAACTTCTGTTGTTACACTTATCACCATTTACTATTTATAGTTATCTCTTTACTCGTCTGGTTCTTTGCAAGACAGTCGACTTTTGACAGGAGTCAAAGTGTGTTTTCACATATCTGTTTCCAGCATGCAATGTGTATTACCTGCCATAGAGTAAGCATGAATAAGTATTGAATGAATGCATGCTGGGAGAACAAGAATTTCAACCAGTTATCTTAGCCTTAAATTATTTTTCTTTTTCTTTAGCATTCCTTTGAATGAATACAAACTGCTTGCTTGTGATATACAGCAACTTCTCATAGCTGTTACAGTTCATGCCTGCAGTTCCTCAGGCTCACAGTATTTTAGAGTTATTGAAGACCTCATTGTGTTGCTTGGATATCTTCAAAACAGCAGAAATAAGAGGACACAAAGTAAGATTTAATTTTTATGGAGTTTGGGGAGAGTTGTATAGTAGCCAAAAATGTTGTTTGAACCTAATCTCTTTCTTCTTTGAAACTGTTTTACTGAAAGTTTATACTTAATTTTGTGATGATATTTATCAGCTTTAAAAAGAAGCCTTTTTAAATGGTAAAAATTAAGAAATCACTGATTTTTCTTACCAAGTAGAATTAAAACGCTATGTTGAATAATAACACCCTTTAGTTTTCTTTAATGGCAAATATTAAAGTGAATATGAAACAAAAATGTGAGAATTTCTGGTTAAACTTTTATCTTACATGTTAAGAAAGCATGTTCTTTAAAACAATTATATAAAATGAAATAAATTTGTGGGCTAGTATTTTATTGTGACAATTTGGAAATTTGCTTTAAAATTGCTCTTAAAGACAGTTAAATCTTTACTATCATCGAGAACCCATGTTGATTTAAAATTTTAATTCTAATAAAACATTATTGACAGTTTAGATACTGCATGAATATAAAAATAAAAATTGACAGCCGCATAGCTTGAAAACATTCTAGTGCCTGCTGTTTTTAGATATGGCTGTCGCACTGCAGTTCCGAGTTCTCCAGGCTGCTATGGAATTTATAAGGACCACTGCAAACCATGACTCAGAAGACCTCACAAATTCATTCCAGTTACCTTCTGCTCCCCATCATACAATACTTCAAAAGCGAAAGAGCATTGCTGGTGAGTATTGAAATATTATTTTAATAATTATGAATTGTGGGTAGCTAGGCTTTCCTATATTCTGATGCCATTCACATTTTTAAATACTATTAGTTTAAAATTTTAAGCTATAAAGTTTTAGAAAATTATCCTCCCAGAAGAAGCTACTCACTGCTCCTTCTCTGTGCTGTTCTCATTTTATTATCTTTTGAGCACTTACCATGTGCTAAGCACTGTGTTAAATGTTGAAGATACATTGATTTAAAAAACAGATACAGAATCTGCCCTTGTTACAGAGATTACAAATAGCAGAGAAATGTCCGGGGTAGGAAGGATTTACATCAGGAGGTAGGGGAGTGTCTGAGGAGGTGAGATTTAATGGACAGAAAGGACAGAAAGGAGTTAGCAAGGGAGAGGGTCAGAGATTGGGTGTCACAGGCAGAGTAGACGGCTCAGGTGAGGGTGCTGAGGCAGAAGGAAGCAAGGCTTGCTCAGGAAGTGAAAGAAAGCCGCTGCTGGAGTGTGGTGTTGGGCGAGAGAGACGCGGATAAGGCTGCCTGATGGCATGGGCCCGTGCGCATGTGGTCACAGCAGCCATGCTACAGAGTTTGGACTTCTTCCGAATGGGAAGTCACCAAAGGTGTTAAAGGAGGTGGCATGACATATTCAGAGTTTCATTTGGAAAGATCACTGTGGCTCCTGTGTGGAGAGTGGATTAGGGGAGAGTGGGAGAGGCGGGGGTGGCAGTGGTCCAGGCTGGAGGTGATAGTGGCTCAGGTGTGGTTAGATTGCACCTGACATCAGTACTTGCTGTAAATTAGTACAGAGCATCGAATAATAAGTATTAATACTGTCAGACTCCCTAATTTTTCCACAAAATCCACTATGAACTTTATATGCTAATCCAGAAAGACAACATAAAACACCCCCCACACACGTTGTATCTATATGGTACACACACACACATATGTACACATGTATGTTTGTATACTGGATAAATATGTACACACATGTATCTTCAGAGTACTTGGGAACTTGTACTTACAGTCTTAAGCACTTTTCAGTCCAGATCTTCTGCGTGTGTTACACTCCTTCACTGTATTCAGTGCTTTGCCAGATTTAAAAACCATGTGAAAAACTCATCTGTAGATAAAACTATTAAATATACATTGTTTTGCAGTAATATGTTTAGATTATGCTGAATAAAAGCTTATATAAACAAAACTTGTAAACACCCCATGGACCTCTGCAGCCTACCTTAATTAAACATCTCAACAGCCCTCCTCTGGAGCTGCCTTCCGGCCATGCCTCTTGTCCCGGTAGAATTCCATCTGTACCAGGTCGGGCAGTGAAGCCAGCTTTCTCCATGCACAACGGCGACTTCTGGAGCAGCTTTCCTTTGCAGGACTCCTTATGAGTCAGCGAGTGCTTAGATGGAGCTCACCCTCTATTGGTACAGGAAAGTGTACCTTTACTGCTTTCTTCCATGTGGATATCTCTCATTCTCTGCTTTTAACCCTAGGTCCCTGGGGGAGTTTCCCATCACTCTGGGCCTGGGCCAACACATAGCCCTCTGACTGTTTTCTCTTTACTCTGTCTCTTCAGATACTGGCATTTTTATCACCTTGGCCTCAAAGCCCTACTTACCTCCAAGTTTGTTATTATTTATCATGTGTTTGTTTGAACCATTTAAAACTAGATAATGGATGTTTAGTCCTTCATCTAAGATATCCTTTTTTCTCCTGACTTCTCTAGCCTCTTTTTTTTGTTTTGTTAATCCTCACCCAAGGATTTTTTTTCCATTTATATTTAGAAAGGGTAGAAGGGGAGGGAGAGAGAAAGAGAGAGAAACATCATTCCAGAGAGAGACATTGATGTGTGGCCTCCCACATGCACCCCGACCGAGGCTGGATATCGAACCTGCAACCCAGGTACGTACCCCAGGTACTTGACCCGCATTGACTCAAATGTACACTTTATTCAGTGTATATTGAATCAAACCCATGGCCCTTCAGTGTGTGGGCCAATGCTCTAACCATCGATCCACACCAACCAGGGTTTCTCTAGTCTCTTATCCTGGGTTTATATTTTTCACTCTGACAGTGCAGTTGCAGTAAACCACATGAAGCTTACAGACCTACAAATTTAGTACTTAATAAAAGACCTTAGAAGTCATGAGGTCCAGCCTCATCATTTCACAGACCCACCAAGGTCTAGAATCAGAGGCTGCTGGAATAAGAATACCTACACGCTTCCCTCTGTGTCCTTCACCACCTCACCACTCACACCAGGTCTGTTAGATTTATAGGCTCTATCTCTTCAGATCCCTCCCAAGAACTTTTCCTGTTATAAATATGACCTTAGTTAAAATATGTCTGAATCCAGTCATAGAATGCCACTTTTTGTGGTTTAAGTCATTGCTTTTTAATTCTTTTCATGTTGGTTTACACATGTATTTGGGAAAGACTTCTGTTTGTTCACTGTTAGTGGGAAGTTACTGCCAAAGTATATTGGCTTCACACACGGTGGGTAGGAAAGATTCAAACACAAAGCCCCATAGCCCTGGCCAGTGTGGCTCTAAAGCACCAAGTCAGTTTGTTCCTGGCACCAAAGTGACTAGGGAACTTCTATGGCCATTGTCTCCCTCTTGTAGGTGATGGTCTGTTCCCGCAAAGACTGAAAACAAGCACTCTTATTAGTGTGGGGGTAGCTTTTTTCTTTTCTTTTTTTTTTTTATCCTCACCCGAGGACATTTTTCCATTTTTTGTTCAGGTAGAGTAGGAGGGGGAGAGAGGAACAGAGAGAGAGAGAAACATCGACGTGAAGGGACACATCGAGTGGCTGCCACCCGCACGACTGACCAGAGCCGGGGACAAACTGCAACCGAGGTACGTGCCCTTAGCGGGAACCGAACCCGGGTCTCTCGGGACCGCAGGCCGACGCTCTAACCGCTGAGCCAAACCGGCCAGGGCAGGGGGTAGCTTTTTTCTAAACAGACTCCTTAAGCATTTTTTGAAAACTGCTAAGACAAATGACACCTCCAGCCTCGCTGCCACACCTTGCACCTCCAGCAGGACTTGACTGGTGGAGACAGCCAGCAGCTCAACTTCTGTTAGGGCCACAACACGTTCTTTGATAATAGATTTACTCAGACTGGGAACAAGGACATGTGTGGGTTGGGACCATAGTTCCCTCAGCGATCAGATCTCCATGTTCAGTTCTCACATTCAGAGGAGTCAGATGCTATTTAAATGCCAGAATGATCTTATTACAGGCCTGACTTACGTGCACCATTCTTCTGCCCAACAGCCCCATCATTCCCTACTACCCGATGAACAAGGCACCGGTTCCTGCCTCTGTGGTTCTTTTTGGTATAGAGATATATAGGAGAAGGTGTAATTTTGCCCCAGTGGTATGACACTCCACCTTCTGTTTGTAAACTGACCTCTATTTCTAATCAATGTATCACAGATATCTTTCTATATAGATATATATGGAAATAATATACAAATATTCTTTTTTTTTTATCCTCACCCGAGGACATTTTTCCATTTTTTGTTCAGATAGAGTGGGAGGGAGAGAAAAGAGAGAGAGAGAGAGAGAGAGAGAGAGAGAGAGAGAGAGAGAGAGAGAGAGAGAAACATCAACCTGAAAGGGACACATCGAGTGGCTGCCACCCGCACGACCAACCAGGGCCGGAGACAAACTGCAACCAAGGTACGCGCCCTTAGTGGGAACCGAACCTGCAGGCCGACACTCTACCACTGAGCCAAACCGGCCAGGGCTATGTTTAATGAATGTATTTGCCATGATCATCTTTCCTAACCTTTATCAATAAACAAAAGTGTGGTGTTTTTTTGTTTTTACTGTTATAAACAGGGTAGCGATGTACATTTTTTATATGTATTTTTTTCACTGCTTATCATTATGAAAAACTACATACTTCTTTGATGCATGAATGTGGAGATAAGCATTAGGGTATTATTGAAAGTGCTACACATTTATTTAAACTGTCATAAATAAATATATATGTATATATACATTATATATGTATATATATTGTATGAATTTCTTTTCTATTTCAACCATTAATAACAATACCAACTATTAATAATTTTTTATTCTTTGTATGAGATAGGCATTGTGTTTTATGATCATTATTTTATTTAATCCACAGAACAACTCATTTTATCCATTCTTACAACCATCAACTATATTTATTGAACATAAGCCATGTACCAGTTATCATTTTATCTGCTCTCATGGAACTTATATTTTACTGGAGAAAATAGTCAGTAAGCCTGTAAACAAATATATTTAATATAGTGTCAGATAGTGGCAAATGTCTACCTGTGGGATAGGCTCTATTTTACTTTCTAACCCACATCTTACATATATGGAAACTGAGGCTTAGAAAAAAGTGCACTGAGGGCCACAGTAGCTCAGGTAGCTTCTCAGCATGAGAGCTGAACCCCCACCACCCTTTGTCACGTACATAGCACTGCTGAGGACTTGCATTTTCTTGTTCAGTGTATGGCTGTGCCTCTGGATTACCATTGCCAGCTGCTTATACAAGTGAAAACTGTCAGAGAAGTGGACATGAGGAAGAATCTGCTTAAACTAAGGACATAATCTGACACTGTTATCCTTGAATATATCACAGATACGAATTTTTCTTTTTATTTGCTTCAAGGTTGTTGGTTTTTTTTTTTGTCTCAAAGGTGACTCACCAAAATGTATTGACTGATTTAAAATACTGACTACCTAAAATAGTAAACAATATAAAATGCTATTAAAATATCTCAATATCTTGTAGGATGAGTCATTAACATATTTTAGTCATATATAAGTAATGTTTATAGAGACTATTTATGAAGATTGATATATGTTTTCATAATCTAAAACAAAGGTTCAATTCCAATGAAGGGTTCCATTCTTCCTCACCTACCAAGACGCCACTTTCGTTCCTATGGTCAACTTCCGATGCCCTTCTCCTTCAGTGTGTTCAGTCAAGACTCCTTCCCCCCATTTTCTCCTGGATCCACTCCCTGTGTGGGACCTCTCGGAGCAGGTGCAGTAATGGTGCTCAGTGCCAGTCCTCCCTGTTCAATCTGAGGAAACATTTCTCAGGAAATGCTTTGGTAGGATTGAATTCCAAATGATGCAGCAAATCGTTCAATAGCAAATCTCTGGAGTGGTACTTTCTGATCTCCTCACCTTCATCTGACTGATTTCTCCTATGTCACTGCATACACTTTTCAAAACTATTCTATAAAATTTAGCAGTGGTAATTATCCAGAAATAGTAATGTTCTTACTAAAACATAATGTGCTTTAAAAATCTATTGATTATTTTAGAATGCAAGGAAGTGCAACAGTATTTGAAAATACTTTGTCAGAACATTCTGAACTACTTATATGTACCCTTCTAATTCTTGGAGTTTTTCAGGAAGCTCAAATTTTGCCAAATGATAGTACTGTTGCACTTCTTCAAAGAGAGAGAAACATCATTTTCTCTTAATCACTCTCTTTCCTTTGTGTAAATTAACTTTGTATTAAATAAGGTTCTTTTCATGTTCTGATATTCAAAAAGTTGCGGTACAAATAGTTTTCTTGATCTTGTTATAACTAATAACTCTGGCATTTGATATTTTAATTTATATATTCGAAGGTCCTCGGAAATTTCCCCTTGCTCAAACTGACTCCCTTCTGATGAAAATGCGTTCAGTGGCGAGTGATGAACTTCATATGATGATGCAACGGAGAATGAGCCAGGAGAACCCTGTCCAGGCAAGCGAAACAGAGCTTGCACAGAGATTGCAGAAGCTCACCACTTTGGCTGTTAATCGGATTATTTATCAAGGTAGGAGTGGGGATTAAATGTGTCCTTGCTCAAATCTTGAACTAAAAGGGAAGTAATTTAAGATGGAACTGGATAGATTTCCATACTATTAGAAGGATTGTTTTGAAATAATAGTCTTGTTAAATAAGAGTGGAAAAAGTGGGCATCCCTGTCTTGTTTCTGTTCTTAAGGAAAATGCTTTTAGATTTTGCCCATTGAGTGTGATGTTGGCTGTAGATTTTTCATAAATGGCCTTTGTTGTGCTGAGACATGATCCCTCTATTCCCACTTTGCAGAGTGTTTTTATCAGAAATGGGTGCTGACCCTGGCCGGTGTGGCTCAGCAGTTAGAGCGTCAGCCTGTGGTCCAGAGAGACCCGGGTTCGGTTCCTGCTAAGGGCATGTACTTTGGTTCCTGTTTGTCCCCTGCCCTGGTTGGGTCATGTGGGTGGCAGCCACTCGATGTGTCCCTTTCACATCGATGTTTCTCTCTCTCTCTTCCTCTCTCTCTCTCCCACTCTGTCTGAATGAAAAATGGAAAAATGTCCTCGGGTGAGGATAAAAAAAAATGGGTGCTGGATTTTTTCAAATGCTTTTTCAGCATCTATTGATATGATCATATGATTTTTATCTTTCATTTTCTTTGTGTGGTGTATGACATTTATTGATTTGCTAATATTGTACCAGCCTTGCATCCCTGGGATAAATCCCACTTGGTCATGGTGAATAATTTTTTTAATATATTGCTGGATCTGATTTGGTAATATTTTGTTGAGGATTTTGGCATCTATGTTCATCAGGGATTTTGGCCTGTAGTTTTCTTTCTTTATAGTGTCTTTATCTGGTTTTGGAATTAGGATTATGCTGGCCTCATAAAAAGAGCTTGGAAGTCTGGAAGTCTTAGCCACAGCAATTAGACAAGAAGAAAAAATAAAAGGCATCCAGACTGGAAAGGAGGAAGTGAAACTGTCATTATTCACAGATGACATGATATTATACATAGAAAACCCTAAAGACTCCATCAAAAATCTACTAGGTTTAATAAATGAATTTGGCACAGTAGCAGGATACAAAATTAACATCCAGAAATCAATGGCATGCTTATACACCAATAATGAACACTCAGAAAGGGAAACTAAAACAAAATCTCATTTACCATATCAACAGAAAAATAAATAAAATACCTAGGAATAAACTTAACCAAAGAGCTGAAAGACCTGTTCTCAGAAAACTACAGGACATTGAAGAAAGAAATAGAGGAAGATATCAAAAAGTGGAAACATATACCACATTCATGGATTAGAAAAGTCAGCTTCATTAAAATGTCCATACTACCCAAGCAAATCTACAGATTCAGTGCAATCCCTATTAAAGTACCAATGGCATATTTTACAGATCTAGGAAAAATACTCCAAAAGTATATATGGAACCAAAAAAGATGCCAAATAGCCACAGCAATCTTGAAAAAGAAAAACAAAATGGAAGGGGTCACAATACGAGATAGCAAGTTATATTACAAAGCCATCGTAATCGAAACAACCTGGTACTGGCACAAGAACAGGCATATAGATCAATGGAACAAAACAGAGAACCCAGAAATCGACCTAATACAGTATGTACAATTAATATTTGACAGAGGAGGCAAGAACATACAATAGAGAAAAGACAGCCTCTTCAATAAATGGTGTTGGGAAAATTGGACAGCTATATGCAATAAAATGAAACTAGACCACCAACTTACACAATACACAAGAATAAACTCAAAATTGATAAAAGACTTCAAAGTAACTTGTGAGACCATAAAAATCCTAGAAAAAAATGTCAGCAGAAGAATCTCAGACATCACACGTAGCAGAATTTTCACTGATACATTGCTTGGGGCAAGAGAAACAAAGGAAAAAAATAATAAATGGGACTACATCAAACTAGAAAGCTTGTGCATGGCAAAAGAAACCAGCATCAAAATGAAAAGGGAACCCACTCTCTGGGAGAACATATTTGCCAATGATACAGCGGATAAGGGGTTAATATCCAAAATATATAGAGTACTCATACAACTCAAGAAAAGGAAGACAGTCCAATTTAAAAAATGGGCAGCCCTGGCCGGTTTGGCTCAGCGGTTAGAGCATCGGCCTGCAGTCCAGAGAGACCCGGGTTCAGTCCCCGCTAAGGGCACGTGCCTCAGTTGCAGTTTGTCTCCAGCCCTGGGTGGGTCGTGTGGGTGGCAGCCACTCAATGTGTCCCTTTCACATTGATGTTTCTCTCTTCCTCTCTCTCCCTCCCGCTCTGTCTGAACAAAAAATGGAAAAATGTCCCCGGGTGAGGATAAAAAAAAAAAAATGGGCAGAGGACCTGAATAGACACTTCTCCAAACAGGACATAAAAATGGCGAGGAGACATATGAAAAAATGCTCATCATCTCTAATCATCAGAGAGATGCAAATTAAAACGACTATGAGATATTACCTCACGCCTGTCAGAATGGCGACCATCAACAAATCCTCAAACAAGTGCTGGCGAGGGTGTGGAGAAAAGGGGACTCTAGAACACTGCTGGTGGGAACACAGACTGGTGCAGCCACTATGGAAAACAATATGGTGCTTCCTCAAAAAATTAAAAATGGAATTGCCATTTGACCGAGTTATTTCACTTCTAGGAATATATCCTAAGAAGCTTGAAACACCAATCAGAAAGAATATATACACCCCTATGTTCATAGCAACGCTATTTACAACAGCTAAGATCTGGAAACAACCCAAGTGTCCATCAGTAGATGAGTGGATAAAAAAGCTGTGGTACATATACACAATGGAATACTATGCAGCTGTAAGAAAAAAAGACCTCTTACCTTTGAGACCACATGGAGGGTCTTGGAGAGGATTATGCTGAGCGAAATAAGCCAGTTAGAGAAAGACAAGTACCACATGATCTCACTTGTTTAGGGAACATCATGAACAAAATAAGCTGTCAACCAAAATAGAGCCAGAGCTGGCCTGTGGTCTGGGGAGACCCGGGTTCGGTTCCTGCTAAGGGCATGTGCTTCGGTTGCAGTTTGTCCCCGACCCTGGTTGGTCGTGTGGTGGCAGCCACTCGATGTGTCCCTTTCACATCGATGTTTCTCTATATATATCTCTTCTTCTCTCTTCCTCCCACTCTATCTGTACAAAAAATGGAAAAACGTCCTCGGGTGAGGATAAAAAAACAAACAAACAAACAAAATAGAGCCAGAGTCACGGAAGTAGGGAACAGACTGACAAATCTCAGAGGGAAGGGAGGTGGGAGGGGTGGGAAGAGATAAACCAATGAACTTACATGTATCTATGCACAACCAATGGACACAGACAGTAGGTTGGGGAAAGCAGGAGGGGGGGCAGGAGCAGGGAGGAGAGGGTCAATGGGGGAAAAATGGGGGACATCTATAATACTTTCAACAATAATAATAATAAAAAAGAAACAATAGTCTTGAATAAAGGTCCATTTTTCAATGTGTTAAATGCAGGCCTTGATTGACTTTTTTAATTTTTCTCACACCGCCCCCCCCTCCTGTGGATGCCTGTAACCATGAATAGTACTGAAACCCTATATATACTTTTTTTTTTCATACATATCTTTTCATTTAAAGGAAGCACTTCCCAGCTTCTCCTTGGCAGAGGCAAGTTGCCAGTATCATTACTCTTGAGCTTTGGGGCTATAATTAAGTCAAATAAGGGCAACTTGGACACGAGCACAGTGATACCATGACACACAGTCTGATCATCATGATGGCTACTAACTAACAGGCGGGGAGCATTTGCAGCTTCAATGCGCCGGACAAAGGGATTATTCACATCCCAGGCAGGACAGTGGGGGATTTCAGCACACTACTCAGAACAGCATGAAATTTAAAACTTATGAATTGTTTATTTCTGGAGTTGTCCATTTAATATTTTCAAACCTCAGTTGACCATGGGTAACTGGAATTGTGGGAAGCAAAACCACAGATAAGGAGGGACAATTGTAATCATAGATTCAAATGTAGCTGTTGAGAAATATTTCAGACATCTCATGTACCCATTATCTAGTTTCCCCCCAATGGATCATGCAAAACACTGCTAACATCAGCACCAGGATATTAACATTGAAAGAGTCAAGAAACAGAACACTTCTATCACCACAAGGATCCCTTATGTTGCCTTTTTATAGTCATACCCACTTTCTTCCCACCCCACTTCTGTAGTCTCTGGCAACCTCTAATCTGTTCTTCATTCCTATACTTTCATCATTTCAAAAATATTATGTAAACGGAATCATACAGAATGTAGCCTTGGGTATTTTCACTCAGCATCATTTTCTAGAGAGTTGGCCTGGTTGTTAACACTTTTTGTTTTTGCTGAGTAGTATTTGTAGTGTAGACGTATCACAATGTGTTCAGCTGTGCACCTGCTGAAAGACCATCTGGGTTGTTTCCAGTTTGGGGCATTTACAAATAAAGCTGCTATAACACTTATGTGCAGGTTTCTGTGTGAACATAAGTCTTCATTTTCCTGGGATAAATGCCCAGAGTACAGTTGTTGGGTTGTGTGGTAGTATGTTTTCTTCTTGTTAACTGCCAAACTTTTTCAGAGTGACTGTACAATTTTATATTTCTACCATAAATGTATGAGTGGTCTGTTTGTTTGTTTTTTCACATCCTTAGGAGTGTTTGGAATTGTCATTGTTTTTCATTTTAGCTGTTCTGATATGTATAGTGATACTGCATTGTGGTTTCAATTTGCATTTCTATAGTGGCCAATGATTTATCTATTTATATATCAAATATAATATCTAGAGCAGCCACTAAAAAGCTGTGCAAAGAAATACACTCAAAAGCAATATAGATAAGTCAAAATTGGATTCTAAAAATGTTCAAATAACTCCAAGAAGGCAGGGGGACAACAGTAATTGTTAATCACTAGAAAAACAATACATCCAAGATTTTTTTTTTCTCTCTAATTTAGCCCAGCGGGTGTGGCTAAGTGGTGAGAGTGTTGGCCCTCTCACTGTAGGATCTTGAGTTTGATTCCTGATCAAGGGCACATACCTGCTTGCAGGTTCGATCTCTGGCCTCGGTCAGGGGACATGTGGGAGGCAATCAATCCATGTGTCTCTCTCACATCAATGTTTCTCTCCCCACCCAACACCCCGCTCCGTTCCACTCTCTCTAAAAATCAATGGAAAAAATAATCTTGGATATGAGGATTAACAAAAATAAAACAAAAAAACTTCTCTGATTTGTATTTGAGAGAACTGATCCTGAGACTAAAGTCTGAAATTGAACCATTTTTATCACATACACAACATTTAATGGGATAGCACATGAGAGAAATAACTCGGCACATCCACCTAATGTAATAAATATCACATGATCTTTTTAAAAAATTTTTTAAATTTATTTTTGTTACAGATGTTTCTCCTTTTCCCCCAGTTGACACCCTCCTCCTGATCCCTCCTCCCCGCCCTGTCCCCAGCATTGTTGTCTATGTCCATTGGTTACATACACATGCATATGAGTTCTGTGGTTTATCTCTTCCCTCTCCCCCTACCCGTTCTGAGGTTTGGCAGTCTGTACCCTACTTCTATGTCTCTGGGTCTATTTTGTTCATCAGTTTGTTTTGTTCATTATATTCCACAAATAAGTGAGATCAACATCACATGATCTTTATGTTTGATTTATACAAGAACTTCATGGCTTCAATAATTTTGTAGTTTAATCTTCATCTTTATTAGTAAAATAAATCTTTAATTTAGAAATACACGGCTTATATATGTTTAAATTTCTATACTGTTTTAAGTGAGATCACTTTCTCTAGTATATTCTACAGTTAATAACATCTGCACATTTATATTGTGTCAACTGAATCAGTAATTACATAGAATATTTTTACCAACATAATTACATTTGTAATGATAGGTATCAGTGGTTTGACTAATTTTTTATTCTTCTTTAAATTTAGAGTTTAGTCCAGACATTGTTGACATTTTGAGTACTCCAGAAAATGCCACTCAAAACAAGACCTCAGTTTCCCAAACTGAAATTTCTGAAGAAAATATTCATCATGAACAGATTTCCGTTTTCAATCCATTTCAGAAAGAAATATTCACGTACCTGGTAGAAGGATTCAAAGTATCTATTGTAAGTAAATTAATTAAAAGGAATGTCCATTCACATAAAAGGAATAGAGGTTTTAGTATGTGTTTTTTTACTTTATTTTTATTGTTGACACTATTACAGATGTCCCCATTTTCCTATCCTTTTCCCACCTCCACCCCTCCCGCAGCCCCCTTCCCTCAGGGCATCACCTCACCGTTGTCTGTGTCTGTGGGTATGCATATATGTTCTTTGGCTAATCTCTTCACCTTCTTTCATCTAGTCCCCCCAATCCCTCCCCTCTGACAGCTGTCAGTCTGTTCCATGTATCCATGCCTCTAGTTCTATTTAGTTTATCAGTTTATTTTGTTCATTAGATTCCACATATAAGTGAGATCATATGGTACTTGTCTTTCTCTGACTGGCATATTTCACTTAGCATAATAATCTCCAGGTCCATCCATGCTGTCAAAAGGTAAGAGTTTCTTATTTTATGGCTGCATAGTATTACATTGTGTAAATGTACCACAGCTTTTTTATCCACTCATCTACTGATGGACATTTGGGCTGTTTGCAGATCTTGGCTACTATAAATAGTGCTGCTATGAACATAGGGGTGCTTGTATTCTTTCTGATTGGTGATTTGGGATTCTTAGAGGATATATTCCCAGAGTGGGATCAATGGGTCAAACAGCAGTTCCATTTTTAAGTTTTTTAGGAAACTCCATACTGTTTTCCACAGTGGCTGCACCAGTCTGCATTCCTACCAGCAGTGGTTCCTTTTGTCCACATTCTTGCCAGCACTTGTTTGTTGATTTATTGATAGTAGCCATTCTGTCTGGTGTGATGTGATATCTCATTGTGGGGGTTTTTTTTAATTTAATTAATTTATTTTTGTTCCACATGTTTCTCCTTTTTCTCCCACTGATTCCCCCCTCCTCCTCCCTCCCCACCCTGTCCCCCAGCCTTATTGTCCATGTCCATTATTCATGCACACATGCATATAAGTTCTGTAGTTTATCTCTCCCCCAGCACCCCCTCTTCTGGGGATTGTCAGTCTGTATCCCACTTCCACATCTCTAGGACTACCCCATTCCTCAGACTGTTATGTTCATTATATTCCACAAATAAGTGAGATCATATGATACTTGTCTTTCTCTGTTTGGCTTGTTTTGCTTAGGATGATACTTTCCAGGTCCCTCCATGTCATCTCAAAGGATAAGAGATCTTTTTTTCTTACAGCTGCATAGTACTCCATTGTGTCTATGTACCACAGCTTTTTTATCCATTCGTCTACTGATGGACATTTGGGCTGTTTCCAGATCTTAGCTATTGTAAATAGTGCTGTTATAAACATAGGGGTACTATATTCTTTCTGATTGGTGTTTCAGGCTTCTTAGGGTATATTCCTAGAAGTGGTATCACTGGGTCAAATGCAAGTTCAATTTTTAATTTTTGAGGTAACACCATAGTGTTTTCCATAGTGGCTGCACCAGTCTGCATTCCCACCAGCAGTGTATTAGAGTCCCCTTTTCTCCACACCCTTGCCAACACTTCTTGTCTGATGATTTGTTGATGGTTGCCATTCTGACAGGTGTGAGGTGATACCTCGTTGTTGTTTTAATTTACATCTCTCTGATGATTAGTGATGTTGAGCATTTCTTCATATTTCTCTTAGTCATTTGTATGTCCTGTTTGGAGAGGTGTCTATTTAGTTCCTCTGCCCATTTTTTAATTGGATTGTTTGTCTTCCTTTTGTTGACTTGTATGAGCACTCTATATATATTGGAAATTAACCCCTTATCTGATATATCATTGGCAATTATGCTTTCCCAAACAGTGGGTTGCCTTTCCATTTTGATGATTGTATCTTTTGCTGTGCAGAATTTTGAGGTTGAGGTAGTCCCATGTGTTCATTTTCTCCTTTGTTTCTGTTGCCTTGGGTATGTATCAGTGAAAATTCTGCTGCATACGATGTCTGAAATTTTGTTGCCTACAGTTTCTTCTAGGATTTTTATGGATTCATGAGTCATATTTAAGTCTTTTATCCATTTTGAGTTTATTCTTGTGTATGGTATAAGTTGATGGTCTAGTTTCATTTTTTTGCATGTAGCTGTCCGATGATCACACCACCATTTATTGAAGAGGCTGTCTTTACTCCACTGTATGCTCTTGCCACCTTTGTCAAATATTAATTGAGCATATTGCCTTGGGTCCATTTCTGGGTTTTCTTTTCTGTTCCACTGGTCTATATGCCTGTTCTTGTGCCAGTACCAGGCTGTTCATTGTGGTTTTAATTTGCATTTTTCTGAAGATTAGTGACCTTGAGCATTTTTTTATATGTCTATTGGCCATCTGTATATCCTCTTTGGAGAAGTATCTGTTCATTTTTAAATTGGATTGTCTTCCTGGTGTTGAGTTGTATGAGTTCTTTATATATTTTAGAAATTAACCCTTATCAGATGTATCATTGGGGAATATGTTCTCCCATACAGTGGGTTCCTTTATCATTTTTTTGATGATTTCTTTTACTGTGCAGAAGCTTTTTAGTTTGACATAGCCCCATTTGTTTTTTGTTTTCCTTTGTTTCCCTTGCCCTAGGAGCTGTATAGGCAAAAATATTGCTACAAGAGATGTCTGAGATTTTACTGCCTATGTTTTCTTCTAGGATTTTTACGGTTTTATCCATTTTTATTTTATTCTTATGTATGGTGTAAGTTGGTGGTCTAGTTTCATGTTTTTGCACATTCCTGTCCAGTTTTCTCGGCTCCATTTATCAAAGAGACTGTCTTTACTTCATTGTGTGTTCTTGTCTCCTTTGTCAAATATTAATTAACCATAAAGATAAACATAGATTGATTTCTGGGCTCTCTGTTCTGTTCCATTGATCTATATGCTTTTTCTTGTGCCAGTGTCGGGCCGTTTTGATTACTATGGCCTTGATATAAGGCGTTATGATACCTCTAATTTTAATTGTTATTATTTGCAGGTGACATGATATTATACATAGAAAACCCTAAAGATTCCACCAAAAAACTACTAGATCTAATAAAGGAATTTGGCAAAGTAGCAGGATACAAAATTAATGTGCAAAAATTGGTGACATTTTTTTTTAAATCCTCACCTGAGGATATTTTTCCATTTATCTTCAGAAAGAGTGGGAGGGAGGGAGGAGAAGAGAGAGAGAAACGTCAGTGTGAGAGGGACACATTGATTGGCTGCCTCCCACACGACCCTGACCAGGGCCAGGGACCAAATCCCAACTGAGGTAGGTACCTGCCCTTGACCAGAATCAAACCCGTGAATCTTTGGTCCACAGGCAATGCTCTAACCACTGAGCAAAACCAGCCAGGGCCAGTTTTTATTTGGTGGACATTTTTATACACCAATAATGAACTATCAGAAAGAGAAACTAAGATAACAATTCCATTTACTCAGAAAAAAATAAGAATCGAATAAAGAAATAACGGAAGATACAAACAGGTGGAAGCATATACTATGTTCATGGGTAGGAAGAATTAATATCATTAAAATGTCCATACTACCCAAAGGAATCTATACATTCAATGCAATCCCTATTAAACTACCAACAGCATTTTTCACAGATGTAGAACAAATACTCCAAAATTTTATATGGAACCAAAAAGATCCCAAATAGCCCCAGCAATCTTGAGAAAGAAGAACAAATCAGGAGTAGGTTTTATGTCTGTATTTTATGGTTTTATTTTTACTTATTTATTTTTTATATGCCCTGACCAGAAATAGAATCCACTACCTTTTTTTTCATTAATTAGTTTATTTTTGTTACAGATGTTTCTTCTTTTTTCCCCATTGAAGCCCTGCTCCTTGCTCCTACAACCCACCCCTTCACAGTATTGTTGTCTGTGTCCATCGGTTATGCATATATGCACATAAATTCTTTGGTTTACCTCTTCCTGCCCTCACCTTCCATCTCACCCCTTTCTCTGAGGTTTGTCAGTCTGTTCCCTGCTTCTGTGTCTCTGGGTTTATTTTGTTCATCAGCTTATTTTGTTCATTATATTCCACAAATAAGTGAGAACATGTGATATTTGTCTTTCTCTGATTGGCTTATTTCCCTTAGCATAATACTCTCCAGGTCCCACCATATCGTCTCAAAGGATGAGAGATCATATTTCTACTCTTTCTCAGAGTTTTTAAAAGCTCAGACATCTTAAATTTTTAATAATGGAGTAATATTTGCTGAGTCACCCATTACAAAAGGACTCACTTTGTGCAGCATTGGTTTTAAGTCTGTGACCTGAAAGCCATTTTCTAATATTGCAGTTTAAGAGTCGGGCTTTAACAAGTTCTATGAGAGTTTTAATTAATAACCCGTTTTTAAAGTAATTTATTGGTACCTACTTACTTTTGAATGATTATTATTATGAATTATTGTGAAGTTTAGATCTTGGCCTAAATGTGTTCAAGTCCTTTGAAATTATAGAGAATATGAGCAAGCGTCAGGCTCCATTTATCATTGACTCACTTGTGTTTCTGTGAGTCATTTACAGCTGACCATAGGGACCAAATGGGTCAGTACACTCTATAGATACCAAAGGCCAATCTAATTTCAGCAGAACTCATAAAGCGTGACTCTGCCAGTCTCTAAATCTAAACTAGATTTTGGTGTCTGTACCACTTAGAACTGAATTATTCAATTCACACAGGGCCCTCAGGACTAGGAGGAATTGGAGAGCAATTTCCAAAACTCAGAGTTAACTGTAAAATGTACTGATTTCAGTTTTAAAACAGAATGCAGGAGATTTGATCAGGATTGGGTTAGCCTCAGTGGGACCACAGTTGAACCAGCTTCTTTGGTTATTTGTTAGGGAATACAAGTGGTCAATTTATATGCAGTTCTTAACTTTTGACTATTGTACTCAATATTTTAGTACTAATTCAAGTCTTTGTTATGAATCCTTTTTTGTTTTACAAAATTAGTGTGGCTTTATCTACTATTGTTCTTTAATATTATTTTATTTTATTTATTTATGTATTTATTTATTAGTTTAAAATTTTTCAAGCCCTTGGTAGCTTTTTAAGTGGTTTAAGACTTTAGCTTCTTCATCTATCTTCTTTTTAAAATCGTGGTAAAATATGTGTAACATAAAATTTATTATTTAAACCATTTCTAAGGGTACAGTTAATTGGTGGTAAGCACATTCACGCTGTTGTACAACCATCACCACCATCCATCTCCAGAACCTTTTCACTATTCCAAACTGAAACTCTGTGCTGATTAAACACTATTTCCGTTGCCCCCTCCACCAGCCCCTATAATCACTGTTCTTTCTGTCTCTCTGAATTTGACTTCTAGATACTTCATATAAGTTATTATAATACAGTATTTCATGCAATATTTGCCCTTTTGTGTGTGATGTATTTCACTTAACATCATGTTTTCTAGTTCATCCATGTTGAAGCATCAGTACTTCATTCCTTCTTAAGGCTGAGTATCATTCCACTCTGTGTATGGACCACATCTTGTTTGTTTGTTCACCCATCAGTGGGCATTTGGATTGTTTCCACCTTTTGCCTATTTGAGCAAAGGTGCACGTCCATATCTTTTAAACCCTATTTGTATGGCTGTATGTGTCTTTCTCATTTAGACTATAGACTATCTTTTAAAAATCTAGAATAAAACATGTTCCATGATCTTTAGGGCTGTGTTGAGGTTATTATATTATTACTTAAAAGATCTGATCCTAATTCATTTCTGTTTTGGTTTAAGGGTTCAAGTAAAACCAGTGGTTCCAAGCAGCAGTGGACGAAGATTGTATGGTCTTGTAAGGAAACCTTCCGAATGCAGCTGGGGAGACTACTCACACATATTTTGTCACCAGCCCACCCTTCACAAGAGAGAAAGCAAATTTTTGAAATAGTTCATGAACCAAATTATCAGGAAATACTACGAGACTGTCTTAGCCCATCCTTGCAAGTAAGAATCTCAGCATTTCATATGTAAAAACTATTGGTGAAACATCAAATTGTACAAAACAAGAACTGAAATTAAACTGTATTTTCATGCCAAACATTGTAAATATTATTTTCTTACCAAATGTCACCTGAGATCTTTCTGCAGATGCTCTATACTAGTCTCAATTTGACCTGTTTATTTCCCATTATTTTCCAGTGCTTAAATTAAGGTCTGTATATAAGTTCTTATACGATCATTTGTAGCTTGTTACTAAATCTTAAAGTGTTTTCTTTATAACTATTTAGAGCCTTTTTTAAAGCATTATATTATTTACGAAACATCTATACTGAATAGTTCAAACAACAGTATATATAACATATTTTTAAAAATATTTACAGTAAGCCCAGCCAGTGTGGCTCAGTGGTTGCGTGTCGACCCATGCACCAAGAGGTCACCGGTTCGATTCCCAGTCAGGGCACATGACCAGGTTGTGGGCCAAATCCCCAGCGAGGGGCATGCAGGAGGCAGCCAATCAATGTTCTCTCTCATCAATGTTTCTATCGCTCTCTCCCTCTCTCTTCCTATCTCTCTTAAAAAAAAAAAACGTAAAGAAAAAGAAATTTTAAAAATACAGTAAGTTAAAATAGAAAAAAAACATTTGTTAATCATTTGGAATGATCAGAACCAAAATTCCTTTAAAAATTTCAGAGTCTAGCCCTGGCCAGTTTGGCTCAGCGGTTAAAGCGTCGGCCTGCGGTCCGGAGAGACCTGGGTTCGGTTTCCGCTAAGGGCACGTACTTCGGTTGCAGTTTGTCCCCGGCCCTGGTTGGTCGTGCGGGTGGCAGCCACTCGATGTGTCCCTTCACGTCGATGTTTCTCTCTCTCTCTCCCTCCCACTCTATCTGTACAAAAAATGGAAAAATATCCTCGGGTGAGGATAAAAAAAAAAAAAAAAAAATAGGGAAAATAAAAAATAAATAAATAAATAAAAATTTCAGAGTCTATAATAATCCTATCATTTCAAGAGTTATAGATGGAGAGTTTAAATGGTATGACCATTTTATAGAGCTATTTAGCAGTTTCTTCTACAATTAATCATACACTTAACCTGTAACCCTAAAATTCCATTTTTTGGTATTTACCAAAGAAAAATTAAAACATATGTCTATAAAAAGACTTGTTCAAAAATATGCATGCCAGCCTTTTCACTACGAGCCAAAAAAAAAAAAAAAAAACCGAAATGTCTGTCAACAAGAGAGTATATAAACAAATTCTGATTTTTTGTGCAATAGAGTTTATATAGCAACAAAAGGAGCAGACCACTGATACACCTGCTGTTATGGATGAAGCTCAAAAACATTGTATTGGTGAGGGACAGCCAAACATGTTCATATAAAGCCCAAGAATAGGCAAAATTAAGATAAAATACCAGATATTAGTTGTATCTGGGAGGAGGAGGCAGCGAGAAGGGCAATTGGTTGGAAAGGGGAATTATGAAATGTTCTGGGGTAATAAAAATGGACTGTATCTTATTTTAAGTAGTGGTTACGTGGTCTGTGAAGTCAAAACTCATAGAAATGAACTCTTAATATCTGTATGCTTTACTGTATATAAATTTTACCCATATAAATAAACTAATAGAATATGTATAAGACAGGGTGGGTATTCCTGTCAATACCTGGAAAACCCAGGTGTATCATATTAGTAACCAAAAGGTTATAGCTTTGAAGTAACACTTTTAGGTGCTCCTTCCGATATCAAGATTGTCTCAAGCTCATGAGGGGAGTTGTCTTCCCTTCCCAAGGCAGGGTCACATCCAGGCCCCTGGTTTCCTTCCCTGCAGAATTTGAAAGGTCTTTTCTTCTTTTAATGTCAGCACAGGTGCCTTCCATCAAAACCCAGCTCCAGTTAACAGTCCTTGTTCCCCATTTAGCCTCCTCTGCTACTCCATTTCTGTCCGTGTGCCATCATGGATTCAGCCTGAAACATTGGGACTCTGGTGGTGGGTTGACTATTTCTTCTCTCTTGAATACATTTCCTCACGAGGGTCAGGCATTTATTTAGCCGCCTCTCTCTCTCTCTCTAGTTCACCCACCCATCCTAGCTCAGACTTCTACCCCTTATGCTCAGATCACTACGATAACCTCTGCACTCAAGACCAAATTACTGTACCTGATTTTTTAAATTTATTATGGAAACTTTCAAATATACCTTAAAGTTGGGAGAAATCATAAAAAGAACCTAACATGACCATTACCCAGCTTTAATTTTTCTTTGTATAATTTTGAAACAAATGTCAAGTATCAAATCATTTTACCTGTAAATACTTCAATATGTATCTCTAGCTAATAAGACTTTTTAAATTTATCACACTTAGTAATATTAATAATTTTTATTATCTTCTAATACCTAGTTAGCATTTAGGTTTTCTATATTTCTTATAATTTTTTAATAGTTTGCTTGATTCTGGATCCAAACAAGGCCAATACATTGCATTTATTTGGTATGTGCTAAATATGTTTAATCTATGGCAATTACCTCCCAGCCATTTTTTTTAAAAGATTTTTATTGATTTTTAGAGAGAAAGAAAAACATTGATGTGAGAGCAACACATCTATCGGCTGCCTCCTGTACATCCTGTACCATGGTTAGAGCCCACAACCTGGGCTCTGACCGGGAATCGAACCTGCGACCTTTCAGTGCACGGGACGTTGCCCAACTGAGCCACACTGGCCAAGACCCACCTTTTTTTTTTTTTCCAATTTTTATTAATTCATTTTTGTTACAGATGTTTCTCCTTTTTCTCCCCTAGATACCCTCCTCCCCATTCCCCCCTCCACCCCACCCTACCCCCTGCATTGTTGTCTATGTCCATTTGTTACACATATAAGTTCTTTGGTTTATCTCATCCATTTCCCCTGCCCTGCCCCCCCCCCGAAACCCCCCCCCCCCAAGGTTTGTCAGTCTGAGCTATATTTCTTTCTATGTCTCTGGGTATATTTTGTTCATCAGCCTATTTTGTTCATTATATTCCACAAATAAGTGAGATCGTGTGGTATTTGTCTTTCTTTTTTTTTTTGTTTTTTTTTATCCTCACCCGAGGACATTTTTCCATTTTTTCTACAGATAGAGTGGGAGGGAGAGAGAGGAAGAGAGATAGAGAGAGAAACATCGATGTGAAAGGGACACATCGAGTGGCTGCCACCCGCATGACCAACCAGGGCCGGGGACAAACTGCAACCGAGGTACATGCCCTTAGCGGGAACCGAACCCGGGTCTCTCCGGACCGCAGGCGGGCGCTCTAACCGCTGAGCCAAACTGGCCAGGGCTGGTATTTGTCTTTCCCTGATTGGCTTATTTCACTTAGCATAATACTCTCCAAATCCTTCCATGTCATCTCAAAAGATAAGAGATCTCTCTTACAGCTGCATAGTGCTCCACTGTGTATATGTACCACAGCTTTTTCATCCACTCATCTGTTGATGGACACTTGGGCTGTTTCCAGATCGTAGCTATTGTACATAGTGCTGCTATGAACATAGAGGTACATAGATTCTTCCTGATTGGTATTTCAGACTTCTTAGGATATATTCCTAGAAGTGGGATCACCGGGTCAAATGGCAGATCAATTTTTTAAAATTTTTTGAGGTAACACCATATTGTTTTCCATAGTGGCTGCACCAGTCTGCATTCCTACCAGCATTGTACTAGAGTCCCTTTTTCTCCACACCCTCGCCAGCACTTGTTGTTTGATGATTTGTTGATGGCGGCCATTCTGACAAGTGTGAGGTGTGAGGTATTGTTGTTTTAATTTTTATCTCTCTGATAATTAGTGACACTGAGCATTTTTTCATATGTCTCTTGGCCATTTGTATGTCCTGTTTGGAGAAGTGTCTATTTACCTCCTCTGCCCATTTTTTAATTGTATTCTTTGTCTTCCATTTGTTGAGTTGTATGAGCACTCTATATATTTTGGAAATTAACCCCTTATCTGATGTATCGTTGGCAATTATACTCTCCCATATAGTGGGTTCCATTTCAATTTTGATGGTTGTTTCCTTTGCTGTCCAGAAGCTTTTTAGTTAGATGTAGTCCCATGTATTAATTTTTTCCTTTGTTTCTCTTCCCTTAGGTGTTGTGTCAGTGAAAATTCTGCTGTATATGATGTCTGAAATTTTGTTGCCTACATTTTCTTTTAGGATTTTTATGGATTCACGAGTCACATTTAAGACTTTTATCCATTTTGAGTTTATTTTTGTGTATGGTATAACTTGGTGGTCTAGTTTCATTTTTTTGCATGTAGCTGAACAATTTTCCCAATACCACTTATTAAAGAGGCTGTCGTTACTCCATTGTATGCTCTTGCCACCTTTGTCAAATATTAATTGAGCATATTGTCTTGGGTCAATTTCTGGGTTCTCTGTTCTGTTCTATTGATCTATATTCCTGTTCTTGTGCCAATACCAGGCTGTTTTGATTATAATGGCTTTGTAGTATAACCTGATATTGTGATCCCTCCTACTATGTCCTTCTTTTTCAAGATTGCTGTAGCTATTCGGGGTCTTTTTTGGTTCCATATAAACCAAAGTATTTGAAGTATTTGTTCTAGTTCTATGAAATATGTCGTATTTTAATGGGGATTGCACTGAATCTATAGATTTCTTTGGGTAGTATGGACATTTTAATGATGTTAATCTTCCAATCCATGAACAAGGTATGTGCTTCCACTTTTTTATATCTTCCTCTATTTCTTTTTTCAATGTCCTGTAGTTTTCTGCAAATAGGTCCTTCACGTCTTTGGTTAAGTTTATTCCTAGGAATCTTAATCGTTTTGCCACAATGGTAAATGGGGTTGTTTTTTAGTTTCTCTTTCTGTGAGTTCTTATTGGTGTATAAGAATGCCATCAGTTTCTTGATGTTAATTTTGTATCCCACTATTTTGTCAAATTTGTTTATTAAATCTAGTAGATTTTTGATGGAGTCATTAGGGTTTTCTATGTGCAATATCATGTCATCTGCAA